TTTTGTCACTAGCTCGAATCAGAACAACTGAATGAATCCAGATAATTGCGTGGTTGCCATTTAACGAGTCATCTAAAATGACCTTATGATTGCAGAAAACCTATAGCTGAAACTAACCGTATGTTTTTGGAGTAGTGTCATCCTTGTTGTTTAGCAATGGAACTCGAAAATATGAAATTCGGCTGGCAGTGGTCGGAAGAAAAGATATTACAGGATAGTGCATAGTTTAAAACAGAATGAGGTGTTAAGCGAAGGAACAATAAGAATCAGATCCAGATAACTATTTACTCCTTGATTGCATTGTTACTAGTCAATGTATATTCAGGTTATTTACGGGTCATATTTGCTAGAGCTTGATTATTAAACAAGTTTATTTCGCTGAAGCATGTAAGTGCTATTAAAGCTTGTTAACGAACCATCAAAGCCAATTAGTTAATATAGATGACCAGTTTTTATTATTGATTGAGCTAGTATGTTATGAGAACTAATCAATATAAGATTACGACAATGCATGTGAGCATTAATCAGAGGACTATTAGAATAATGGGTTTACACAAATATAGTTGATCGAGAAAGTTAATGTGGAAATACGGATTAACAATAATAGGTTGCGTTTCTTTAGTCGAGCTTACCAATGTAGAATTACGGTCTACTATGATATTAGTACTGCTCTAATATAAGATCTAATCCTAAAATTGCACATTTGTCATGATATAACTGCCTAATATATAAGATCTTACGTGGAAGTCACATCATCGTCTACACCAACTTGCTGTATCGTGACAATTCCCAATACATGATGGAGAACAAGCTTAGGCTAGAGAAAGAACAATATATTTAATATGAATAAGAGACATAAGGTGACATTCCGCAGTGACCACGCCTACATGGTCGAGCTATGCCATCCGATCAATTCTAATTAATTTAACTCATTGTTCCCACCTTTTCCATCGTTAGGTATTTCTCCGCGTTAAATATTGAATATATATTTTCCGAGTAGTCTCGTGTTCAGCTTTGAGGATTGTGTGGTTATGATGCAATGCCACTAGAAGTCTTATATCTACTCGGTGTGCTTATAACAGCAGGCAGATAAATTGGCAGTTATGAGTATTTCAGGTGCACGATTTCCGGACGTTCATATGAGCATACAGATCGAGAAATTTAATTAGCTTCCGCAAGGAGGATAAGTGTTACTGACCTATATATTCTAACTAAATAAAATTCTTATTAAACATGAGAAGTAGATTATAAGTGCAAATAACAGAAATGCACATAAAATACACTTGTCTTTACAGAAGAAACTATATCTAACTTAACGAGGGTAAAGTAGTATGCTTATTAGTTAGCTTTGTAAGTACAAAAAAATAACGAAGATTTAAGTGGTTCGTCTGTCTAGTGGTTTTCTGATTGCTTATAACACTTCAGATGACAGTGAATTTGCTCAGATGTAACAGAGTCAATACAAAATCTAGACGAATGGACGATAAATCCCTCACTGCCAAACATTATGACATCCGTCGAATTTCTTAAAACTTAACAGAACTGTCATGTTCGTTCTGGATGAAAATTATCTGGATGGACTATTTTATTCCAATCATTCTCGTCTTGACTGACCTTATTTTAGTAATTTTACGAAAGGTTAGTTACGTGCTAATACGACCTAGTTATTTTTTATGAGTTTGGTGAGAGTAGGACCGGTGCTTTATTGGTCGGCGCTTGTTTGGCTTTCACCACCAATCCCATCAAGATCTATATCTTTTATGAATGATAACTATAATGAACAGCAGATGGGTTTCCAATTGTCCAACCGTGTTACATGTTTTAAGACGTCGTAGGTGTATTGAACGAAAAAAACAATTGGGAGCAACCAAATGTATTTGAATATGAAATTACAGAACATCTTAGTAAAATCTGAAAGCCATACAGTAAATACTTCATTTGCAAGATGGCAATCAGTCGTTTCAGACTTCACTGTTCTTTCGTTTACACATCAATCGTTCTTTGTCCTCGTTCTATTTCTTTAATTTTCTTAACGTTCTGCCTCCAGGCATTTCACTTTTGATTGATGGTATATACTACTCATATTTATCGACAAGTAACACACAATCACTGACTGGAAACCTCTGATCCTTCGTCCTTAGTAAGAGGTTCTATGATGCCGAATAGCTAAATTTTCAAGGTAATTATTTGTTCTATTATCGCTTAATTATTGGCACAATTGACGTTGTTAAAAAAGCATTAAATTAAGGATCAACTTAGCAGCACGTTTGTTGCTTTCCAAGGGTGTTTAAAGTCACAGGCTACTCCGTTTTGTTATTTTCTATATCTCATGTGATATCTACACTTTTACAAGAGACACTATATCACTGCTAGTAGTATGAAGAGATAGCTGTTACTATCATGACCATATAACCAATTTTCACAGGCTTCATTTTTCTTGGTGCCACCACATGAGCCGTTCATTTTGCATATTTACATTAGATTTCATTTCTGTATTGTTACTGTTTCTTCTAATCCAGTAATGTATAATAAAAAAGAAAGGAATAAAGGTTACGTTTATTCGAAAACATAACCTAGTCCTAAGTCTCATGCCAAGTGAGCTATTCACGAGAATAATCACTAAACTATGTAGTAGAAGGGATGGTCTGAAGAGAGCAACCAAATTGTACCACCTGCAAAAGCAATAACACTATCGAACGTAACTCGTTTACATAAGTACACATATGGTATACTCTTTGTACATCGACTGACAATTACCTTCTCAGAGTTATCTTGTAATAAATTAGCCGTGTTACCCATAAGTAAAGGTAGGCTTGAGTTTGATACGATGACAGCCTTTCTATGGTTACTGCCAGACTAGAACCCAGATAAACGAGGGTTGTATACAGTACCAGAAACCTCGTCCAGGACAGCATGGATGCAGGCAAACTATTTGGATTACGCAGACAACCTAGCTCTTCCATCCTATATACACTGTGGGTCACTAATGTAGATGATCTATGTCGAATGAACGGAGACCTACTCGGGTTAAACGGGAGTGGTGTGAGGAGCCAAATAACTTCGAAATCACACCTCGCGGTCAGCACCTAACGTCGATTACCCTTCCGTCGTATCATGGTGCCATGGCTGTTCTGAAGACGGTACAACACAAAGGACTTCATTACAGAAATATATTAGTATGAGTAGGCACAAGGAAGACAGTGCAACCACCATCTCATGGGCCAGACTATGGCGCGCGATTAATTAATACGCGTTGGTTATTCTTGACCTTGAAGATGATCAATGGACTGTTAGGTATTCAGTGACCCGACAACCGGATGATCTGGTTTTGTCTCATTAACATTTTTTATGGCTGCAACACTGACAAATACGAAACAAGACATCCAGCACATTAGCAGCCTCTGCAGCAGTAGGCTTCAACATACACGAAGGATAAAGCAAGATCCTCAAATACAACACAGAGAGCACAAATTCAATCACACTTGAAGGAGAAGCTCTGGATGAGATCGAGACTTTCACACACACGGACAGCATCACCGGTGAACAAGAAGGATCTGTTGCAGATATGCACGCACAAACTGACAAAGCAGGCACATCATTTCAAAAATTAACATATGGGACCCAAACTATTTGACAATACTCACATCAGAATTTTCAGTACGATCGACAATACAGTTCTGGTGTGAGGGGCTGGATCTTGGAGTATTACTTCAACCATCATTCAAAAGGTACAGGTATTCATAAGCAACTGTTTACACAAGATACCTAAGTTCCGTTGGTCGGACACCACCACAAATAACCCTCTGTGGTAGAGAACGAAGCAGCTCCCAGACGAAGAGGAAATTGGGAAATGACTCATATGTTGGGAGAAATCGTGAAATTCTACTGGGATTTAATCAGTATAAGGGAGGCTATAGAAAGCTGATCAACAGTCATAACAACATACTGTGTCAGCAATATCAGTAACTCCACAACATTTGATTAGATGGGACTAGTTTGTACTTAATCGTATCACTCAGTGGTATATTTTATTCGATTATCACATTTTCTTAATTTGATCTAAAGTTATTTACACCCAATTGCGTCACAAGTCAAGCCCTCACTTGAAATCCTCACGACCAAAGAAGACATTACGCCGAGAAATGGAGACGGACATGAGAAGAATGAACAACAATTGGACAGAACTAGAAATGAAGGCTCAGGGCAGAGTTGGGGAATGCCGGTCGTCGGCCTATGTTTCACTGGGAGTAACAGGCGTAAGAAATAAAGGTATCTACGAAGTAATAACAAATATCGTGAGTCCTGAAGACACAACGACAAACTAAAACTCGTTGACAACAAATTAGGATTTCAATAATGTCAACATAATAATACGTTTGGATAGATATCACAACTATTATTTCTACATATACCCATAAAATCGACAATAGGCGTCTATGTCAAGCGTTAACCCTTGATCCATCTATTCACTTTTTATTGGGTAGTAGAGTAATAGTGAAAAGCTGTGTAGATTACACTTTATAATAACGGCACACATGTTGAAATATTGCTACATTCTTGATTGCTAAAAACACACACTTTCGAGTTTGTTATTCATGCCTGAGATCTGATAATTAATTATTTATTTTAACACATAGATATTGGTACAAGGAGGCACCAAATATATATGCGCCACACAGATTTCATTTGATATAATGTGAGGGCTGTGATAATGCACGGGTGCCCAAACCGAAGCAGGTGATCTGGTAATTCCAAGACTTACTTTCTGTGACGCGTAATTGCAGATAACTAAAACAAGGTAATTTGTGTCATTGTATTCTTAATTATCAGTCAATGATAACTTTTAATTACAAAAGTTAAATTGTGAGTTCTAGCTTATACATTTACAATTGAGGAAACAACCAATATTAGACGGAAAATTAAGACCTTAATTGTTGCACTTATATAAACAATAAATCCCCCATCCCCAATCAATTTGCATTAATAAATTACAAGAAATAAATGAACTGGATATTATTTATTGTTGCCTTGATAAAATATACACAACAGCACTTGAAATGCGGAGTGACCTCTTTCATTGAATGTGGGTAATTCAGAGGAAGTCAATAAAAATACAAAGATGGTTATCAAGACTACTTCACATCTTATAAATTAAGAGTAGTGGTGATATCTGAATGTGTGAACATCGATCAAGTTTGTGCTTGTAATTTTGGCTCTTGGCTTTGTTTTTGCTCTTGTTGAAGTTTACGATTTTGAATCCTGTGAACAATTCGTTCGAGTATTCGTCGAGCATCACAATCAGGGAAATTAGACATATCATAATACTGAGGAGCGATACGCACAAGCCTACATGGGGAGAGAACATGGAATAAGGGAAGTACTGGCAATACAGTAAATACTTTGTGAGATAATATTAGAGAATAAGAGATAGTAGAAAGTTTTTTTTCAAAAGTACTCAACACGCATTATCGAGTCCACTAGATTAGTGACCACATTGTAACTCGGTCGACAGGATTCAATCTGCAATAAGAAGGACCTGACACATATTGACATTAATCACCACCCAGTGATCAACCAATTGTGAGTACATCTCAGTCCTACAAGAGGTCAGTCGCGGGTCGGATATCCCAGTGGTAACGTCTCTGACTGTGAAGCTGAGTGACAAACATCGAATTCGTCAGGGAGCATCAGTTCCCTCAAGATTACAGGTACACCTTGCTGAAAAGTGCCAAATAGCACGAAATTCAGGTTCAGGGTTTCTTGTTCACAACCTCCAGCCATTATCTTACCTCGACATATAGTGCACACAATGTCAATCCACCTAGATTAGTGACCACATTGCAACTTGGTCGATAGAATTTCATCTGCACTAAGGAGGATCTAACACACACGACATTGATCACTACCCAGTGATCAATCAGTTGTGATTTTTTTTGAAACCACATACTATTCACTCCTTATAGCTACGCCGTAAATTAACAGTCAAAATGGAGTTTATTTCTATATTGATAGAATTCTTGCTGACTAATTCGATTCAAAATTTCTGTAGAATATTTTACTGCACATTTAAGTATTTTAAAATAAACACATCTGTTTCTATTCAAATGCTGAAGCAAACAAAACCAATGTGCAATGGCATACTTAAGAATGAATTTACATTCAAAAAATAAAGTTCTTTAAAAAATCACGTTTGACCATAATAAAGTAATTTCTTATCTATTCATTTCATAGATTTTACTGAAAATATATATGCATGTAAAAAACCAATAAAAGTATAACTGAAATACAGTTTTAACTAACAAAGTAATGATGTATTAAGTTCAGCGCTATGCGTGTATGGATGGTAATCAGAAGAATTTTCACTAGTTGTGTATGAGCATACAGGTTAGTATGATAGTTAAAATGTACACTTTATGGACTAAGAATAATTTGCATTTCACTGAGTTTTAGAAAAGTTAACTGAATATGAAAACTATAGAAATCTTACCAATCTGGTTTTACTTCAGTCACTGTACGTATATAATTCTTTGTTGTAAGGACGAACTCATTGTACAACACCCATTCCGGTTTGTGATCCATTACTGTAGAGGGATGAAGCTGGACCACTTGGTTGTCTTTTACAGTTAAATAATGTCCAGTACGTTCAAGATGCGCAACCTGGGGAGGGAAAATAAATAATAATTAAGTTGACTAGTCTTGCTTCAGAAGTCCAGAGTAATAAAAAAATTCAGCAGAGTGACTACAACTATGCATATGTTTAGTTACAATCCAGGATACTATGAAGACTAATAATAATAATACCAAAACACAAGGGAATAATTGGATTGTAAATTGAACAGATGATACAAATGATCGAAAATAAAATTTTGCATGTTAAATAACATTCGTTTGAATTGTTAGTACAGTATTTATTTAGTCCTGTGAGGAAATCACACTAATGTAGGACATTCCGGAAAGGATGAATAAAAAGTTCGATCTTATAATCGACAAAAATAAATTCTGTAAAAAGATATATATTAAAGTGAAACAAAGAACTTTCTCTGTTATACCTGCATGAAAAAGCCAGATACCAAAGCTTTTCGAATGTTAATGTAATAATCTCGAGAAGTGAAGTCTGTACTTGAACGACGAAGAGAAAATCGATCCATAATACGTGATAATTGTACCCGAACGTTGTCAGCAGATTTTAATGAGCGGAAATTTATGAAATTATCATAACACCACTGTGGATCTTCATGATCTATGAATGTAAAAAATAAGTTGATTTGTGTTAGAAAAATAAATCCAAACTAAAAATGAATTCTTACAATAAACACATTTCGGGAACTATATTACTAGTATCATGTAGTGCTCTCAAGCGACCAACTGAATAGAAAATCTACGGAAAGAGATTTAATCTTATCTGGAGTGAAACTATGAATTTGTATCACGCTGATCTGAAATTATTCAGTCACTGGCTTGAAAAATTCACTGGGGTATCTCGCTCAGTACCACACGTAATCGAAAAACACTACAGATTACTTGTAACTACACCAATAGATTAACAGCTATGGCTTTTGAGCTATTTATCATGAAACTGTCAGTGTCTTACTTTTCTAATTTAGAAAGCACTTATTCCAAAACGGGTAGTCTTTGATTTAACTCTCTGCGTTATGATAATTTGTGGGGATGATGTGCCTTAAAGGATATCCTATAAGTGGTTCGATATTTTACTTCACATAGTTGTAAAAGTTTATGGAGAAAAACCATATGAAATGACAACAATCATGTGGGTAACAGAGAACCTGGTGAACAAAGTTTTAAAAAATGCTCAGCGGACAATGCATAGGTCACAACTACCGCTAAACTACACCGGTCAACAGAAACGGGAACGTTGTTACTATCATAGTGTTTAGGTAAATTTGTGATTGCCTGTTGATTTTGTGACCATTGAGAAGACAAGAAACGTGAGCCATGGATCCTACAGACCTCGTATCCACTGGCATATTTGGTGATCCCAATATTCCCTCTATTTGAGGGGACTTCTGATGCTGGAGAATATCAAGTAAAGTAATAGGCAAGCGTGGGAAAACTGATTTACTTGAACTATAACCACGAGACTTTACAAATCTACCGAAACGTTAACAGTAGTGACAGTCAATTCGGGAAGGTGCATTCACATCAAGAGGTTGCAGTGGGCCCCTAGCTTTATCAAAATCATACTGTTGGTGAGCAGAGCTCGGTCGGTTAATGTATTGGATATCCATCAACGGAATAGTGGGAGTGTTAATTGCTTCCAACTCTTCTGTATGCTAAACCAAAGTCGTATTTCTTAGCAGTATATAGAGACGATAGTAGATTCCTGTATATCTACAGATAATCACTAAAAATTTCTCCACATTTCGGTCTATGTAGACTTGACGTGGTCGATTAAGAACGGCGCCCCAGGCCCTCTATATAGTTAGTTACACAGTCAATCAGCCATACGCAACGCCGAAGAGAGCGATTCTCAGAGTAACAAATGTAGTAAGATTATGTGGTAATACAAAAGATTAGGTAACCAAGACGCAATTTGAGAAAATATAAATTGAAGTTATTGAAAATGATTTATGAGGAATTTAGAAAATTAGGATCTAAGAGAAGATAAAGAGTGGATGCAGTTGAGCAAACCATTTTGAGACAGGTCACCTAGTCTTTGACCATTAGTTATGATATTCGCGGACCCAAATCTAGTCTGTACCTACCTACTTGGCTTGATCGAACAGTGTCTTCATGGACTGATCCCATGTTTTCGTTTGGCCGCCCCAATATTTTCCAATCAACACTAGACAACATCGCTCGTCGAGAAAGGCAGTGGTTGGGGATACATAATACATGTCCCCAACCACCTTACAATCAATGGAGATTTGTTAACTTATCAAAGTTTTACCATCTTTACCTAGTACTTTATCCCTAATCCCAGCATTGCTTACTCGGTAATCCCAAAATACACGAACCATGCTTAGATGACACCTATGATCGAATTAGTGTCTTCACTAGATACTTACTGAAGTTTCAAGACCTTAACACGTAGTAGGAACTTCGACCGTTTGACTCATAAAAGCAAGTGATTCGATAGACGGTATGTTTAGTTTGGTACTGGTACTGTCACGACGTAGGTCCATAAACGTCTGCTAAGACGATCGATCGTAAGAACACTGAATGATGGGAATCACAACACAATGTAGGATGAGACCTCTCGCCAGAACTTAAATTGTCTAATTCCTAGCCCGCAAGACATTGAATGCGAATGATTCCATGACAAGGACTGTTGGATTCGGGGAAGCATATTGGCCAGTGTCCCCATTTTTCTTGACTGGTTTGGTCTGATAGGCTGTCTTCACCTCTTTCGGCATGTTTGTTTGAGGAGATCGATATCTTATGGCATATAATCTACTGATTATTAATAATATAAAATTGTTAGTGTCAAAATGACTAATACATAATGTTAACTTGGATAAGTTTTTAAATCAACTGGATGTGAAACTATCAATCAAAATAAGCATAGGTAATATATATACATAAGAAATAATGTCATTAAACATCACATATGCTCGGAATTTTTCTCATCACCTAATATCTTCGATAAGACTCACCAACCTAGCAACGGTCATAAAATAATATTGCACTTACATTTTTGGTGAGACTATAATTTATGAACGACCTTTGAGAGTATCCACCTAATAACCAGTACCGAATGAGAGTTATGAAAATGTGTGAGGAATTAGAATTATGATTTACAGTTGATGATTAAGGTTAGGAACTAGATTTTGGGTTTCCATCACGAACTAACATCAGCTATAATGCCTAAACTCTATTTAGCCAAATGAATTCCGAGACCTGTTATCTTATACATGATTGGCTCGCCCATAAATTATAGTCTCGCCACATTTTTCAAATATAAATTGGGATATTAATTCTCAGAAATCGGGTTTGGACAAATGAAAATTGTTTTTCTGGATGCAATGGAAAATCAATTTCAAGAAATGGTCTTTTAGCTTACTCTGTTTGAAGGCATGATATACATTTAACATAGTCAAATGGTCACCATCAATGTGAGCAAAACGCATTTTGGCTTCGTCTGCAGTTTTCTTGGAGTCGGCAGGGCGTACAAAGCATTGAGGTACTGAAATAAATAGGAACAGTTCCATACATTATAGACATTATCAGACGAGGAATCGGTCAAATTAGTGAAAAGATCTATCACACATTAGCTAAAAATAATGAAACAAAGAAACAATTGAACTTGCCTGATAACATTGAAGTGATGCTCAGGATTTCATTTGAACAGTTGTAATCGCAAGAGGCGATAACCATTTTGGCTAACTGAGGATCAAGTGGGAACTCAGCCATCATACTTCCTAGATCGGTTAGGTTACCATCATCATCAAGGGCTGCCAAATAATTCAATAACTCTAGAGCACGCATCAGAGTTTCCGGAGCTATTACATTCAACAAAAACTCATGATAAGAAAACTGGCATCGTAAAATATTGGTGAAATGGTGATTAAATTAGTGAGAGAAAAAAGCTGAGTCTTTCTGTTTCAGAACTGTTATTGATACTGAAGCTTCGAAATACTAAGTGAAAAGAGCAATTTCATTAGCGAACTCCTATAACGCGGATAAAACCGAAGATTTTAAAATGGTAAACCTTAGTACTGCAAAATCTACCTTCTAGGTATCGTAAAATATGCAGATTTTAAGACTACGTATATTACAATACTAGACTGAAAAGTGTTACTAAAAGTAGATTATAGAAACGAATATTTGCAGAAATCAGAGTCCGAAGGTTCATTTAGGGTAGTGTTAATAAGTGACATTTTAATTGGTCGAATGATGTACAAGTTAAAACTTTTATCCTCACTTTAATTGCACTCGTAATCCTTCACTAATTACTAAAATTGATTTATTTTACCGAAATTTTGAGACAAAACATTTCCCACAAATATTTACCGACTATATTTCTATTTGACTTAAGAAACTTCAAAAATGAAATTCATACGGATTCATTAAGGTGTAATGAATGAATGTCCTGAGTAGCTTATACATAAAAAACATAGCAGTGCATGGTAATTTCCCACTAATATGAACCCAAACAAAATATTAGTTATTCATAACATGGTTTTGAAAGATAGAAATGAAAATGGCACATCATTCCATTACATTGACATCTGGTATGTGTCAGACTGTCAGCCAATCATCTACAACGTATGACCAAGTACATCCCGACCGAAGCTGCTACCTTGACGCGGTGGTCGGGCTTGCCTACTACCGTGATGACCCAACCGAGCCATATTGGCTAGAACATATGTTCCTGTAGGCTCTATCATGCCAGGAAGGTCGATTGGAGAACGGTAAGACTAAAAGCAGCAACCCAAGGTCTAAGAGCGAAGTCGTACTGCTGACTGGAGAGGGATGTGACAGCAGTAAGGTGTTTCCCTCGGAAAACCAGCATCTGCAGCGATGCTACCTTCTTACAAGGAAGGAAGGGGTTAAATAAGGTCGACCCTAAAAATGTCACACCTCACCTTACCTCACGGATTTCCGTCTCCGGCGGTAAGGCCCTTTGAAGAACGGAGAAAACACATTAAAAACCTCTCACGACCAGCCTCAAGCAGTTGTTCCTTGGGCTCTGCAGTCACACTCCAAGCTCGTTAAGGCCAACATTATTCCAAATTCCTTTTTAGGTTCCTCAAGAAATACCTTTCTATGGTGTGGGCAGCCGGGAAGTGATATCAGCCCTCGTACCCTTAACAACACACGAGGCCAAGTCGGTCACATTCAAATCCCTCCTACACCTCTAAATAAATCTTTTATCTCAACGACTAACTCTTCTCACGTCTCTTTATCACCTCGCAACGCTAGGGCAAACTATTCGAGTACACGGAACGTTATTCCTGGTCTCCTGAAACCACGCTCTAAACTACACGTAGGAGCTTTCGACGTCCGAACACTGCCAAATAGGACAACAGGCTTCCTCAGCTAGGACTTTAGAATCTCGCGCCACTGATGTGTGCTGCGTCTCCGAAACGCGCATACAGGAGCTGAGTAGTGTCATTCATTTGACCTCACCATGTCAAAGTAATGAACCAACTCGATTTACGCCTTGTGTATCTGGAAGTCCTGATGCTGCTTCTCGTGGCCTCACCGGTGCAGGTATAGCATTGAGTCCTAAGGCAGAACTAGATATCTTAGACTGGATCCCTGTAGACAGTCGTTTGTGCGCTGTCCGAATAAACGGAACAGTAAGGACTCGAAAAGATAGGGACACTCGTCGTTGCCTCTTCGTCGTCTCTGCCTATTCTTCCACTGACTGCAGCTCAGATGATGTAAATGATGAGTTTTACAGAAAGCTTTCCGACCTTCTCCGAAAAGCTAGGCGCTCAGATGTAGTAATAATGGCCGGTGACTTTAATGCTCAAGTAGGGTAAACTAAGTGATAGGGAAAGACACCTGGATGGATCATATAGTATCGTGGCTCAAAGAACAGATAATGGTGACCGTCTGTCGCAGCTACGCTCAGATAACCGCCTTTTTATTGCAAACGCTAACTTTAAGCATAAGGAAAAACATCTTTTAACATGGCGACCCCCTAATTCGTCCCAACGTTGGACCCAAATAGATCACATCGCTATCAGACACCGATGGAGAGGCTCGATAGAAGACTGTCGCTCATTCTGGAGCACATGCTTAGATTCAGATCACGCTCTAGTACGAGCGCGTATCTGTCCGCGTCTTACTGGACGCAGGAAAGACGCTGCAAGGAAACCTCTTAGGGGCCTACTTAATTATAGTCAAGCTAAGAGTATATTTCAGGAACAACTAGGAAAACAGTTAGGTAGCCATGTATATGATGCTCACCTCGAGGCAGCATGAAATTATATCCGTAAAGCTAGGGAAACAGCAGTGATATCTGCTAGTAAGGTAAACCTGAAGGTTAGGGAGCAACACCAGATATCAGCAACATCTATCGCACTGATAGATGCTCAGAAACGCATTCCACCTGGCTCTGAACATAATGAAGAGCGGAGTCAGATTAAGCGCAAGCTGACAAGAAGTCTACGCAATGATCGTGAACAGTGGTGGGTAGCGAAAGCAAGAGATGGAGAAGGCAGCGGCAATAGGTAATAGCACACAATTGTTCAGACTTGTTAAGGAAACCGACTGTTAGCGAAACAATCTCAGAGAAAGATTGATATACTACACATTTTCAATCCAGGAGATTGGATCGATGGACAGAACACTTCAGGGATCAGTTCAACTGGCCTTCAGCCACACTTCGGTTTCCTATGATCTCCAGTCAACCTGAATGGCAAGTTAATGTAGGTCTTCTGTCTCTTTACGAAGTTGAAAAAGCCATAGGAAATTTGAAGCGATGGAGAGCAGCAGGTCCCGACAGATTTACTCCTGAGATTTTTAAGGATGGTGGTCCAGTATTAGCAATGAGATTAACCGAGGTCTTAGGTAGAATTTGGGAACTGGACGTAATCTCATCTGACTGGTCTCAATCTCTGATTGTGCCAGTCTATAAGAAAGGACAAAAGTTTTCTTGTGACAATCACAGAGGAATCAGTTTGACTAATATAGTGTCTAAAATATTAGCTTCAATAATACTTGAACGCCTAACTAAAGCTCGTGAAGAGGAGACTAGAGAAAATCAGGCTGGTTTTCGACCTGGACGTGGTTGTACAGACCAGATATTCACACTACGTCAGGTTCTAGAACATAGACACACATTCAGATGCCCCACAATCGTAGTATTTCTCGACCTTACGGCGGCATTCGACTCTGTTGATCGTAAGGTTCTATGGCAGTGTTTGTCACTGAAAGGAGTACCAAAGAAGTACATTAACCTTATAAATGCTCTCTACTCGAACACAACTGGTAGAGTGAGAGCTTATGGAGAACTGTCATCAGAATTGATTACCTCAAGTAGTGTTCGTCAGGGCTGTCCACTCTCTCCATTCTTGTTTAACTTTGTCGTTGACGTGCTTTTAGAGATGACACTTTCCTCATCTGAATTTCCAGGGCTTGAACTTCTACCGGGAGATTCACTTTTTGACCTAAAATATGCCGATGACATAGTTCTATTTGGTGAAGACGCTGACAAAATGCAGTCTTTTGACCACTCTAAGCGATAATGAAAAATGTTGCTTCAGGATTGGGTTACATTGACACCCGAACTAATGATAGGGAGTGAAATAGTTGAGCGTGTCGACCGCTTAAGTTATTTTAGAAGTCTCATCAACCCTTGTAGTCTGGTGTGTGACGAAATCTCAGCACGGATACACAAGGCTCGATTAGCTTTTGCCAACTTGCGTCATCTATGACGTAGGCAAGATATCCGTCTGTCAACCAAAGAACGTGTTTACTGTGCAGCAGTTCGTTCTGTCCTACTATGTGGCAGTAAAACATGGCCGGTAGGAGTAGAGGATATTCGTAGGCTACTAGTATTTGATCATAGATGTCTTCAGAGCATTGCTCGTATATCCTGGGACCATCGAGTAAGTAATGCAGTTGTTAGGAAACGGGTACTAGGTAAGGATGGCAAATCAATTGATGAAGTGGTGAAACTTCATCAGTTGAGATTGCTGGGACACGTGTTACGTATGCCCAACAATCGACTGCCTCGACATGCGATGCTCAATGGTATAGGAGTAGATTGAAATAATGCTAGGGGCGGCCAGACCAAAACATGGCACAAGTCCATGAAGTCACTGACAAGTGGATTGAGTCATGTTGGTAGGTGTAGACTACCTGGTTGGGGACCGCGAGATGATAGCAACCGATGGTTAGAGACCCTGAATGACATGGCTCAAAATCGGTTGCAATGGCGCAGGTGCATCCACTCTTTGTGTTCTACCAAATTCTAATCTTCAGTATTCTTCATATCCCTTATTTTCTTTACAAATTTATTTCACTGTATTATACTCCTTGAATAACATCTTCAAGCCCTAATGTTTCCGATTACTGCTTATACTCTTATTACCTCTACCACTACGGGATTTGAATCGACAACTGTACTCTGTGCTAATGTAGTGTGGCAACTCGAACTGATGTACGTACGTACGAAGTTCTACGTTGTTACTGACTGACTGACTGACCAAGTAAATATATGCATCAGTCCAAGTTGCCATACCTCATTAGCACAAGATGAACATCAAATTAATTGAAGTAGTTACTTCAATGGTAGTAATATATAAAAGATTGCGTATAAGCATATAATAGATGAAGAAAGAATTAGTTCGGAGAAATAAAGATATACAGCAATTCTATTCTCATAGTTTAAGGGAAGACAAAGAATGAATACACCTAAACCAGTGCGATCGATTCTGAGCTATGCCACCCAGTCTCCAACCATTGGTTACGAAAGTCACGCGGACCCCGACCAAGTAGTCTGCATCTACCAACATGGCTCAGACTAGAAGTTGGTGACTTCAAGCACTGATGCCACGTTTTGGTTTGGCCGCTCCTAACTGTTGGGATATTCAGGAAAATATCCCCAAAATTATCCTGTTAAGTTTAATGCTATCCTTGGACTTGAAATGGCATCATTTTCCTATTGGTCAATTTTTATTTAACGTGTCGCTTCCTTACTGATCAATATTTATTTCACGTGTCATTTTCCTGCTGGCCAAATATTGTACAAATGTTATTTTCTATTTTATGGTACGTTGTGGTCCGTCTGTTTGATATATAAACCGAGTATGTTTGAAATAAATGATTCATATCGCAGAGGCTGAGACTTATGTTCTGGACTTAACTGGCTGGGCTAGGCGGAAAGCAGGACCAATCAGAACTCTGGGCTGCTCACGCGGGTTTATGCGTCATTATTCCGATCGATAAGTCACTGCTCTCTAATTGGCGGTCACAAGTTGTAACACTAACTTTCTTCCAACCGTCCCCAACACGAGACAGCATTATGGTAATCGGTTTTTAGTCAAACGTAACACGTGACACAACCATCTCAGTCGATGAAGATTTACAACCTCATGAACTTATTTACCATCATTCCCTAATACCATGCGTCCAACTCCATTATTACTTACCCGTTGATCCCAGTACATGCGAAAAATATGTATAAGATATCTGTGACCAAATACTAGTAACTTACGAGTATCCTACATGAGTTCGACCACTTCACTCCCTATACTTAGTTCAGGTGTTGACGCAGGCCAGTCCTGAAGCAACAACTTGCATTTAGAGGGAGAGAAGCGCATTCCAAACATTCTGGCATTGTTACTTAGTGCTACCAAAAGACTCTGCATTCTATCAGCGTCTTCATCAAACAGGACTATGTCATCCGCGTATTCTAAGTCGATAAGTGGACCTCCTGGAAGGAGATCAATACCCGAGAATTCAGTCGACGAGAATGTTATTTCCACCAATAGGTCTATGATGAAGTTAAACAGAAATGGAGAAAGTGGACAGCCTTGACGGACACCACTTGAGGTTGCAAAAGCAGATGATAGTTCGCCATAAGCTCTGACTCTACTGGTAGTGTTCGAGTAAAGAGCCTTCACAAGGTTTAGGTACTTCTGAAATACGCCTTTCAATGGCAGACACTTCCACAGAACCTCTCGGTCTACAGAGTACAGTACTGCTTTTAGATCAATAAGAACTATAATAGTCGGGTGCCGATAAGCACTTCTGTGTTCTAGAACCTGACGAATGATGAATATGTAGTCGATGCAGCCACGACCATGTCTGAAACCAACCTGATTTTTTCGCGTTTGAAGTTCACGAGTCTTTGTTAAGAGTCTGATAATTATTGAGGCCAGTATTTTAAATACTATATTAGTCAAACTAACCCCTTTATGGTTATTACAGGATGATTTTGATCCTTTCTTATATATTGGGACGGTCAGTGATTGGAATCAGGCAGACGTGATTACGTCCAACTCCCAGATTGTAGCTAAAATAGTAGCCAACCTAAGCGCAAAATATAGACCATCATCAGACTGTTGGATAATTTATCAATGTGACTTGGAAACAGTTACTTTAAAAGTTTGGTATGGACTTAGAGAAGATTACCTAAGCATGGGAATTGTAAGGACGTAGTACTAAAGAAAAGCAACTACAAACATGCTTTATCTTCTATTCAAAAAAAATTGGGAGGAGGAACAAGTGCCGATGGACTGGAAAGAAGGGCACCTCGTCAAGATTCCAAAGAAAGGAGATCTGAGCAAATGTAAAAACTACAGAGGCATTACACTACTGTCAGTAGCAGAGAAAGTCTTCAACAGAGTGTTGCTGAACCGGATGAAAGACGCAGTAGACACCCAACTTCGAAATCAATAAGCTGGATTCCGTAAGGATCGGTCATGCACAGATCAAATTGCGACACTACGGATCATCGTCGAACAATCAGTTGAGTGGAACTCAACACTGTACATAAACTTCATTGATTATGAAAAAACATTTGACAGTGTAGATAGGAGGACGTTATGGAAACTTCTTTGATACTACGGAGTTCCTGAGATTTTCAATATTATCCGAAACTTGTACGACGGACTACAGTGCAAGGTCGTGCATGGAGGACAGCTGACAGATGCATTCCAAGTGAGGACCGGAGTCAGACAAGACTGTCTACTCTCTCCCTTCCTCTTTCTTCTGGTGGTCGACTGGATTATGAAGACCTCGACATCTGAAGGAAAACACGGAATTCAATGGACAGCTCGAAATCAATTAGACGATTTGGACTTCGCAGATGACTTAGCCCTCCTATCACGTACACATGAACAAATGCAGATAAAGACAGCCAGTGTAGCAGCAGTCTCTGAATCAGTAGGCCTCAGCATACACAAAGGGAAAACCAAAGTCCTCAAATTCAAAGCGGAAAACAACAATCCAATCACTCTTGATGGTGAAACTCTGGAAAATGTAGAGTCCTTCACATACCAAGGAAGCATCATCGATGAACAAGGAGGTTCAGATGCAGACGTAAAGGCAAGGGTTGGAAAGCAAGGACAGCATTCCTACAGTTAAAGAACATATGGAACTCAAAACAACTTTCAACCAATATCAAAGTGAGAATCTTCAATACCAACGTCAAGGCAGTTCTACTGTACGGAGCTGAAACTTGGAGAACTACAACAACCACCATCAAGAAGGTACAAGTATTTATAAATAGTTGTCTACGCAAGATACTCAACATCCATTGGCCAGATACCATCAGCACCAGCCTTTTGTGGGAGGGAACAAACCAACTTCCAGCTGAAGAAGAAATTAGGAAAAGACGATGGAAATGGATAGGACATACATTACGCCAATCGTCAAACTGCATCACGAGGCAAGCCCTAACTTGGAATCCTGAAGGGAAGCGAACAAGAGGAAGGCCAAAGAACACATTGCGTCGGATAATAGAAGCAGATATGAAAACGATGAATTACAACTGGACGGAGCTAGAAAGGATTGCCCAGGACAGGGTTGGATGGAGAATGCTGGTGAGCGGCCTATGCTCCTTCACGAGGAGTAACAGGCGTAAGTAAGTACTAAAGAAAAACAATTAGTTTAGTGTATAACATGAAAAGTTCTATCTTTTTAGTATCGAATGTTGGGACGGTATTAATATAAAATGGCATGAAGATTGGTAAGTTGAAATCACACAATCAAAGAATTGTTTCTACAAGAAACGGCACAAATATTAGGCGAATGGAAACAAGTTAAAGAAATTCAAAAGTATTAACAGTTCCAAAACATGAATTCACACTTAATACCCACCGGGAGGATCCATAAAGTCAAAATGCACCAAATCATCAATTCCCAGTTTTTTTAACTGGAGGACAACAGTGCCCAGGTTTGACCGGAGAATTTCTGGATATGTGTTCTCTTGCATCTCATTTGTATATGCCTTTTCTGTATACAATCTAAAACATTTTCCAGGTCTTGTACGCCCGGCCCTTCCAGCACGTTGTTGTGCAGAAGCTTTGCTGATAGCAGTGACTAAGAGAGATTCAACACGAATACGAGGATTGTAGACTTTCTGCTTTGCGAAACCTGGGTCAATAACAAAAACCACTCCATCAATTGTGAGGGATGTCTCTGCAATATTTGTGGACACTACAACCTATAAGGAAGATCGACAAGGTGAATATATTAGAAACACTGGAAAGTAGTACTAGTATATCCATGTTATATCAGATAGGTTAACTATGATAAATCTATTTTTTGAATGCAAAAAATGTCTACAGTTGTCCCTTAAGTCGATTCAGAAATTTTAATCATTTACACTACAGAACAATATAGTTGATAAGCCCAAGGTACGATTGTATTACACTTCTGATTATTAAAAATAAACCACCCATATAACACATGCTCTTATAACACCCCGTGTCGAATCCTCAAAATATAAAACCTTAAGTTCAGTGTATAGATACCGACTCAGAAACCTTTTTTATAAGCAATAGATATTATAAAATGAGATTTTGTTTGAAGTGTAAAATATCTGGTTCTGTTAAGTGAAAAATCAAAATAAATTTAAGACAACAGTAAACATCATCAATAAATAAATTTTCTCCATAGTATATTAGGTATGTTGTATTTTTAGACCACCTATGAGTGCAGAAACACTCATTTCTAAGGAATTCAATACTGTGAAATGGCACATCGTAACAATAATTATGGTGATAATATTAGGATATGTCAGTCGTCCAAATAAGCTAATTGGATATATTTGATTGAATGGCATAAAGCTTTACTTTGCCTACAACAATTTCAGTTCACTTTCAAAATAATTTATTGTTTTTTGTAACTGTCTATTAACTGTAGTAACTAGGTGAAGTAAAACTCCATACGGCAAAATTTATCGTAGATTGTATTTCATGGAATACCATTCAGATTGTTCATAGCAATCAATGTTGCACTTTTTATGGGGTGTATGCTAAAGGCAAAAGATAAAATACACCTAATATGTGAGTCGCGTAACTGAGAATAAGTTATTCCTAGGTACACAAATCACAATAATAAGGTTAAAATGCGAAATGCACTCCATCAAAAATTGTTCTAACAGGATGGCTACTGTAGGTGGAATCATCTAAAAATAAAAGAAATATATTAAAATCCTATCTGCAGAGTAGTGAACTACTACCTTATTACAGCACTTATTACATTTTTGAATATACTATGTGTTAATTTGGAATGCATGACAAAGCTCATGCTAAGAGAACAGAAATTCGGTAATCTTTGACAGGACAGAGTCATTTTAGTACGGAATTTAGCAGTCAAAAATACGAAGACAATAACGACGGGAGTACAACGATTTGAAAGTTAATTATTTTTCTGACCTAATTTGTGAAAAGAATGCAGGAAACAATGAACTACATGCGTGGCTTACAAGATAGATGCTCAAGAAAATGCCATTCAATGGTTGATTCTTAAGGTAACGGCTAAACAAAGATTATTCAGGTGTGCAATCTCGATAGACCAAACCATATAATGAAACAAAACAAAACTGAATTGTATTTCGAAAACAGTTCTAACCTTTCGACCAACAGCTCCATTTGCACGTTTTGGAGGAGGAGATTCGAAAATCCTTTGTTGAAGATTTGGTGGAAGGGTAGAGTAGAGAGGAATGCAACGGAGTTCACCAACGTCCGGGCCCAACCCATCTACTTCTCTCTGGATACGTTTGCATGCTTCTTCAATCTCCTCTTGTCCCGTCAGAAACAGTAATATGTCACCCTCGATCTCTTCGCACATATGGATTTGGATTACAGTACGGATAGCCGCTTCGAGATAATCACGTTCTGGTTCTGGAGTATAAAATATCTCCACTGGATGAGTTCTACCGGGCACGGTCATAAGAGGTGCTTTGTGAAAGTAATCCTGGGTCATTTCGAAAAGGGAAGAAGTAGATGGCTTCATCCAACTCCAAATAAAATGTGATACAACTAGGATACATTTAACTAAACAAATACTTTTAAGATCTATTCATTAAACGGATAAGAACTATGTACTAACTTGGAATTTTCCAGCGTCCAAAGTCGCACTCATGACAACTATTTTTAAATCTAATCTTTGCTTTGTGATTTCTTTAAGTAGACCCATTAAAATATCAGTAGCCAAGGTTCTTTCATGGGCTTCATCCAAGAGAATAACACCGTATGCCTCGAGCAAAGGATCAGACATACCTTCACGTAAAAGCATACCATCAGTCATGTATCTAAAGCAATTATGGAAAAGTTTAAAAGTTACTTCATCACAGTCCTTGAGGACGTGCAATCCTCGAATCGAATACTGTATCCTACTTCTTGACCAAGTTCAACATCCATTTCCTCGGAAACACGCTGAGCAACAGACATGGCTGCTACCCGTCTAGGTTGAGTGCAGGCCACTGCCTTTTTGGTAGGATACCGTCCAGTTACCCATTCCAGGCACCACTGAGGAATTTGGGTCGTTTTTCCAGAACCTGTTTCACCAACTAAAACAGTGACTTGGTTCTCCGATAACGTCTGAAAAAAATTCTCTTTGTATTCCCAAACAGGTAATTTGATACGCTTCCTCAGAAGTTCGAAGTATTTGGCACTAAACGATTTGCCTGAAACAAGATACAGATTAGAACAATTTGATGGACAGTATTTAGTATGTTTTGCCATTAGTACACAATTCATACTGGTCTAATGTATACATAAACTGAATCATAACATAAAAGACAACGTGAAAAAGTAAGATATTCAAATCAATATAAACATTTCCGTTAATCCATTTTTTCCTGAGTACCCATAACGATGTCAGCAGTAAATGATGGTTAAAATCTTAGCTTGTAAGTACAAATCTGCCTTTAGGGGCGTAAGATTAGTGATCTTGTGGAAACATGTATTTCTAAACGCTGTGAACTCGAAATGCACAATTGGCATAACTTGCAGGCATAAAGTATTTCTTTAAATTCTTATCCACTAAAGAAACAGACTTAAAATTATTTCAAACACCTTCAATGTAGCCATTATATTCGAAACACTAAGTCCCAATAAGGGAAAGATAACCTACAAAAGCCAGTCTTATAAATGCAGATCAAATGTAATTTATAATGTAAGTGCCTGGTTATAAGTAGGAACAAGTTAGAAAAAAACGAACTATTAGTGCCCCTTTATCCAATATTAGAAGGGATTTACAATCTGGCTAATTAACATAAGACGACAGTTTAAGATCAACAAACAGACTGAGATAAACGCAATTCCATTTGACTGATTTTGATCGCTTATCGTCCCAATTTACAAGAAAGCACAAGAAATCCTGAGTCGGGTTCAAATTTTATTCCAAAAAGAGTAAGCTATAAAGCCCACAACACAAATCGCTTATCGATTATATACCTCAAATATTTTGTTTGTAAGTATGTTATTTTACTCGAAAACTTCTGTTGAGTTGTACTGTACTTTGATAACAATTAATTTGACGATCTAAGTCGACGATTTAGTCTCGCGACTTGTAATCGACCTGCCACATCGTATTATCGCCAACCAACCATTGAACAGTATTTTATCTAGTTTAACGACTGCCCCGGGACAGCCAGCTCTCCCTCTCGAAATGCTTTCATATGGCTACGTGCATACAACCACTGCCAGGGAAGTCATAATCACTGCCTTCGCGTGGCGAGGGTGTTGTTTACGAAATTGAGAGAACGAAAAGCGAATGTCCGGCGCTTTAACCGGGTTGGTGGATATGGAGGATCTACCTAGGGGAGTTGAAAAACCGTGATTCTAAACCAATGGTGCACATGGGCTCCAGGATCCTAAGGAAACAAATGGCGAACCTACTGTTGATCACCGGTCACCACGGGACTGCATCTCTTTACGTTGCTCCACTGCCTTGTGGATTAGACCCTTATGTCAAAGGTTCGTGGTATAGCCCCCTAAGAAAACAACCTGCTTCAGTTTGGGCACCCGGGATGCATCCCAGCCCTCACATAAATCGGATTGTGTGGCGCATATCTATTTGGTGCCTCGTACCAATGTTTATGTTTAAATAAATAAATAACGACTGCGAAATGTGCACCATCATTCATTAAAACTTAGGACAGTAGTTTCCTAACATTCCACTATGGATCTCTATAAAATACTCCCTGAGTGTAGTAGAGCTGTGGAGTGACGTTGGTAGTGAAATATTAGGTAGATGAGGTAGACCACTAGAATGTTTTGACCTTTATCTGAAGTAGCTGGGTGTTGAGCACGCCCACTCACTGGCTACCGCGACATGCAATAAAAGCTTATTATTTGTTTATTTATTTATTTATCTGAACACATGGATATTAGTACAAGGAGGCACCAAATACATATGCGCCACACATATCTCATTTGATATGTGTGAGGGCTGTGATACTGCCCAGGTTCCCAAACCGAAGCAGATGGGTTTTTAGGGGGCCACACTCGAAGCCTTCGACCTGAAGGTCTGATCCACAAGGCAGTGGGGCAACGTCAGGAAATGCAGTCCCATGGTAGTCGGTGACCAACGATTGGTTCATACGCCATTTGTTCCTTCAGGACCCTGCAGCCGATATGCACCATTGGTTTGGAATCATGGTTTTCCGACTCCCCTAGGTGAACTCTCCATGTCCACCAACCCGGTTAAAGCGCCGGGCATTCACTATTCGTTCTCTCAATTTCGTAAACAACACCCCCGCCACGAGAAGTCAGTGAGTAGGACTTCCCTGGCAGTGGTTGTATGAACGTGGCCATATGAGGGCATTTCGACCGTACCAGGGTATTCGGGGGCACAGTGAAGGCTAGGATAGAACCAGGCTTGAAAAGCTAGGGTCAGTAAAGCAAAGTCACCGACTTCCAGTCGGATATGTTTCGAAGATTGAAGACTTCTTATGTGAGACTTGCACGATAATCGTCATATATAACTGAAGGCATTTCAGTACAATTTAATAAAAGGGGAACTGATCAAGTTAAAGAGCCAACCTAATATAACCAGGAAGTGAGTGGCCTTCATGAACTACATTTTCAAGCTTGATGTCATCACCAGATTTCCACAAAGTACAAGCACTATTGAATTAACAAAAATGACCACTAATCACAATATCAGATCAACGCTGTCAACTATCGTATTAACATATTTCAAAAAAGACGAAACTGACCGTTGTAAGGATTTGTTTGTGCTGTGAATGGAGACTTATTCGAAGCATTCTGTTTAAATTTGACCTGATTATCTGGGGAGCGTGAGCGATCACGTGCATGATTATCCGGTCCATCAGAAAACCTGTGACAACAATACAGTAATAATGCAAAATAAGATGAGAATATGTCGATGAGACAGGTACTAACAAAAAGCGAAACACGTAAACTCGATACCTCCGCTACATTGCTTGTGCAAACTGTTTACTGAATTCAAAAAGATACAAAAGCCTATTCGTCTTCAATACAAGGATGCGAGAAATTTATAGTGAATACATTTGCTGAAAAATTACAAAAGGGCTAGGTAGTCATTGTAAACGATGATTACTAACATAATGAACGAAAACCCCAACCACAAATAAGATCTTATTAATGTAGTGTTGAGCGTATTAAAAACGGAGAAACTAAATTACAATCTTTAGAAAAAGCTACTAAATATGAATATTTGACACCAAGATACAATTATGAACTGGGTTATAAAATTACTTAACTAAGTACGACTGAGGAAACTAGTTTACTTTCTGATCTAATAAAATGTGCACTTGACTAAAGGCTTTGCTTGCTGCAAAGGACAAAGATTTACCAAACTGATTGAAGCGTAGATGGTGCTGTGTAGTTTAAGCACATATAAAACAAACAAAATGTAGTCCTAAACAAAAAAAAGCTTGATTAAGTTTCAAATCTACTTATTGTTCATGAAACTTATTTTCAAAATCAGCCTCATGAACGACAAGAACTTAATATTGCATAGCATATTACATTTGCAACATCTCAGACTTATCGTCTATCTAGAGTCCAGATAATGGGCAGATTTAGGTTTCTAATGCATGGCAGCGTTACAAATTTTTTGTTGATCCTCAAACATGATGGCAGATACCAGACACGGTCCATAGTATTAAACTATCAATCATTTACTATGTACGTCACGTGCTCAGCTTTGAGATACATCTTTACCTTAGTGATACCATTCAGTTGCACAAGCCAGAATAGATAGGAAGAAATTTAACCAAAAAGCTACTAGTTAGAAACATGATGCTTTACCCATTGAACGAACACCAACAGCAAATTAAACATCTCTACATGACTACCTAATAAGAATTTTATATTTCCAGAGGGTCATCGGCTTTAGTACAAACTGACGACTTTTATCTGGGTTGAAAATCATATACAAAAATGCTAAACACAGGGTTCGATGATGTTAAGTCGGAGGATCTCGTGTACCTACCCCAAGATAAAGTGACCCTCTCATATGACAATAGTGATTTCACGTTTAACACCAAACGAGGATAGTTGAGTGCCAACCTTCAGGACTCTAATCCATGTATGGTGGCGATGGATTTCATGTTCGTTTATCATTACCATAGAGTTACCAAATATTGGGTCGCCAGAACTCTCAAAGAATAATACTAATGTGAGACTGACATTTCTATTGATGCCTACAACTTAAAAATGGTATGGAACAGAACTTAAAAACCGGTCAGCGCCATCACCTCTATTTCCTACAAGATACTAAGTTATCATACTCTTATTATTTTACACAAGATTTTCTGTTTTCTTTCGCAGTCGTACTTTTAAAACTACGTTAATCGACAGTGAAGTTTTACCACAGCTAAAAAGTATTTATTAAGTATTCACTCACCGTACTTATATCCCTATAACTTGTTTAACCTGTTTAATGAGTGTAGGCAGCTGGAATAATCGCTTCGAAATAACTAGCCCAAATTACTCTAAACGACCCTGACTAGCAACTTTGCAGGATTAACCGTGCATAAGATTGGATGAGAAACATGGGACGAAGTGAATGAAATATATGGGGCTACATCTATTTGTAGTCACACGTTACGACAAAGTTGGTGAATGACTATTGGTTTGAGGGTCAATTTATAAGTGTAGTGTGAAACGAACAAATCATAACTCAATTAAATATATAATCCTAAAACGTTTTCAGTAATTACCTTGACCGTCTGGGCTTAGATTCACCGATATCAATCCTGTGCCTTGACGACATCACACTAGGAATGTACGAAAGCGCGGGAGACCCAACCTGTTTAATAAAACAACATCAATCTTCTTTTTGAAAAAGAAAACCCATAATCTGGAAATCACGCCTTCAGAAGGAACATAGAGTTTATATTTAAACTAGTAGTTTTCCTGAAAGCTAGTTCTGGAACAGGTTGAAGTTTCCCCTCTATATTTTGTTTCAGTTTCAGATTTGTGTGGTAAGGACAGAAGGACTACGGCCTATGCATACAATTTGTAGTATTTTCCGTGAGTGTTTATTCTTTGCTTGAATTAGTCAATTGAGGGTTCGGACAACTCTGCTTCAGGCAACAGGTTCCAAGAACTGATGACTCGGTGTGAAAACCGCAGGTATTTTGTCTGTTCTTGACTCTCCTACTCGCCTGTTATGTCCCCTGAGATGTCCCGATCTGGTGAGAAGAAAAAGAGAATATATTAGGTCCAAAATCATTTCTTAATATTCAATAGATAAAATCGTACCATATCTTAATTTTGCGCTAGGACAAAGTAAAGAGGTCTAGATTTCTTTATATGGTTAACTCGGGAGTTCCCGAAATCCAACGGTATCTGCCCTCTCTACGTTCCCCAGAATATCCGAGTCATCTTTCAAACAGGGGCTTGCAGCCTGAACGCAATTTTCAAGATTGGTTCTCACCAAGATTGCGTAAACTGTAGTGAATATAGTAGTATCTAACTTGGTGAATGTCCGTCTTAAAGCCAATGGGGTTATAAACCTCTTGGCTGCAACCTCTCAGCAGTGAGCCGTGGCTTTAAGATCATGACTCACTGTCATGCTAAGATCATTGTGAGACCGAATTACGAGTACTGGCACTTCCCCTATGCTGTACCTATTTACCTTAGTATCCCCAATGTGTATGTTGGCACATTGTTCGCTCTGATAAGTACAAGCCACTTTATTTAGACCAGCTAATCAGAATATTTAGGTCTGCCTAAAGTGCACAAGCATCTGTGTCTTCTGTTGTCTCTTGCCAGAGTTTCACATCAACAGAGTATATTAATATTGGTGACTCAACTATAATTGGTAGTTTATTTACATACAGTATATAGTGGATCTAAGACAGAACCTTGATGTACTCCACTGAGTACTGGTTTCCAGGTGGACCACATAGAATTTATTCTTACTTTTCGTCTGAGACCTATCAGCAAATCCTTAAGCGATTTCAGATGTCCGGCAATGCCTAGAATTTCTAGCTTCAAGAGCAGTCTACGTTTTGGTACTTTATCAAATGTTTTGCCAAAATCTATGTAGACAACATCCACTGATTTTCCATTACCTAGAACTTATACTCATTTCTCTCTTGTTGCAGAGGAGTTATTATGCAAGATAAACCTAGTAAGATAAACGTAGTATTATGCAAACAATCCAACATGAACTCAGCATGGTAGACAACTGGTGCAAACGCTAGAGGTTAGGGCCGGACACATAGAAATTCTGTTGGCTATGTATAGGATACACTTCTCTTAAAATAAAACCAGCACTTAACAAGAACACACTGCCCAGATTGAAGTCAGTAACTGACCTAGTTTTACATCACTCACACAGTCTCAACTTCTCTGAACATGTCTCAACTAAAGCATCTAAAATGAGGAAGTTGCTTGGCTTCATTCTTCATGATTTTTTTTCAAAATGAATCTAAGATCATTCTTTATAAAGTTTGTGTAATACCTATTGTTTAATAATGTTTGTTCTCATTTTCCAACCTACACTTATCTGATATACTTAAGGTGGAAGTAATAGAACTATATTTCACTCGCAAAATACTTAAGAACGACTCACTCATTGAATATAGTTCCCGAAACCATTTCTTAGGACTAGAACCCCTTTGAAATAAAGGTTCAGGTCCAATTTGATTCTCTATCTCAAACTCCTTAAAGACCTTACTTATTCCACATGTAATATAAATCTTGCCAAAGATATACATGAATACAACATTCGAGACAAAGTATCCACGGTCAAATTGAGAAATACACATCACAAACTCGGGAAAACGTCTTCCTCATTAAGTATGCATCAATATGGAACAGTCTTTTCTCTGAAATACGCATGGCAGATGATTTACATACGTCTGTAAGACGTGTTGATCAAGCCCTCATTTTCACAGATCTAGCACAAACGAACACATATGCTAATGACACAGACATTGTAGGATCTCTACATGTATAGACCAAATCGCCTTATTTTTCTACTTTGTAGTTGTATTAGATACTTTTTCCTCCCTAATTTTTTACTTGAAGTATAAAGGTAACTCACTGGACCTATCGACTTTCGGTTTCTAAGAAACGCTGACTACTACCCTGAAAAGTCGAAAGAACCGCACAATCGCCTGCCTACTACTAATGCTCTTGCACCTGTGGAACCTGTTACCCATCTACCGGTTAGGATAGAACAAAGTAACACCAACACCAAGTTAATATGAATTCCTTCTTGTTTATTCTTTATCAGCTTTTAACTCTCCAGTACACTATGTTTCACCACTTGTTACCTTACCTATAATTCATATAGTTCAGTACTTTTCCGCCTATTTTGGTAAAAAACTATCCCACAATATACCCTTCTTATAGCCTGTACTCTGATTGACAACCTAAAATTTAGACTATAGTCAATAAAAGCATTGCATCGATGACTTACACACAGTCCACAATATGTAACTGCCTGATAAGCTTGTTAAATGGTACTAGTAGAAAGTGTTTTCTAACAGGATGTGAAACACAAAGCATCGTGTGAGGTATGATATTATCCAAAAAATTCTTAAATGAGCCTGACATCACAACAGCAGAGAGGATGGAGTTACTGACCATCAATCAATGATGGTGAGGGCAATGACTTCAATTCACCCATGTTTGTGGAACAGAATATTTTGTTTGTATCAGGCTCTTTACGTTTAAGAACACGTCAATCAATCAGTGATATTGAAGTTGTTCTCCTACGCTCATCATTCAGAATCATATCTCCAATTTTATGCTGGATTAACTATTTATTAAGACTATTTATAACATGCTAACTCGGACGTTTACATTAAGACTGTGTGACAGGCATCGGATGAAAAAAATCAGACAATAAAAGATATAGTTATTAGTTGCCTTAACATTTTACTCTCTATTTGAACTTTCTGTTCCAATAAACAACCTTACATATTCCAGCCCTGATTTCTCTTCCTTCATTTGAACTTACTCCACCTTGGTAAATATCACAACTCATTGTTCTTAATTACTACATTCTGTCATCTGGAGCCTCTGATCACATTTCACTTTAGCTACAAAAGCTAGTATGAATTTAATCTAATAATTTATCATATCTCTCTGTCCCACAACAAAATGTCAAGTATTGTTTATCGTTCATGTCCAAGTGCCTTGTTGCTCCTCGGTTTCTCTTTTTACTTACGGAATTATTCTCTGAGGGCACAGCTATGGAAAGTCTGACATCTGGAACAAACTAGACGTACGTGTTTTTTCCACGGTCATAGTTTACACCAAGTGCTCTACAAGTCTACTCTATGATAATTATAAACTTAAAAAGATGCATTGCATAGATACTTAGCACAATAGAAATTCTAACATAATAATGTGGAGATTGGATCTCGTGTGTAACGTGTACGCGATGCCACTTTGGAGAATATTTTGAAGATTACTCAGAATATCTAAAAGAATGAACTGATATTCACTTTTATAGACTATATTTATTTAACATGCATACTGTGAAACAATAAATGTTGACATTTATAGATGTCTGTAAAAATGGCATGTTATTGCAGAAATATATATTATTAGTAAAAACTGAGATAAGAATTTCTTAAAAGAGTGGTATTAGTTTCCAGTGGCTTTTAAATTTTTAAAGGCCTTGAAAGTTTTCATCATTAGACTTCATATCATCGACGAGTATTAATAAAATGATAATACAATCTACTAACCTGCTCTTCTGAAAAAGATAAAAAGCGTTTCACTAGCATTAATGTTTCACTCATCGGGTTGAAAACCATCGCGAACAAGGTAAAGACAGAGTTTGGATGAGGGTTATTTTCTCACTAGGAGAATGGTAAGAAGATCGAAGTATATAAAAAAAATTTAGTGACCTAAAGCGTCGGAAGGAAAACCATATTGCTATTTTAATTGTTCCGGTGTTAATTTTCCGGAAGGAAAATCATATTGCTATTTTAATTGTTCCGGTGGCTACGACAATATTCCTGGCACTGAAATTTATAAATTTGTAGTATCTTTTAAAATCACTTTCAACTTCAGTTATTACCATCATGGTTTACAAATAGTTTACTGTTTTATAATTGTAGAAAAGAAACTTTTGTATTTCTTCAGAAGTCTAATTATACCCAAGTTTCAATAACGTTCACACAATATTCACTATTTTTTGAAAAAATTTGTGATATTTCGGAGAAAAATAGTTTACTTTAGGGAAAAAAGTTAAGGGAAGCAAAGTAAAAGCAATTTAGTATGTTTGTTAAACGGAACAAGAATAAACGTTAATATATGTAACGACTGAACTGTCAATATTCTGTTTGAACACAGGACTGACGAACCAAAACTTATTTGAATCGACCAGACTACGTTCTTCTGTATAGCGTACGAAGCGTTTCGGAGTTACCCGTGTTAAATTGTATCAGAACACAAATTCTGTGTCTGACTTAAACGGTTCTAATTTGGGAAATAGAACAAATTATATCAAAAATACAAAATACCTCAAACGGTACAGCCTGTGCTATACAGTCAAAAGTTTCTCTACCACAAAGAAGCGTGCTAAACGACATAAGAAACAGTTAATACAAAAGAGTTCAATACCTGAGAATTAATAATAACATTCCCAACAATATAAGATCAAATACCTATCTGCAGGGATTCCAGCAATCGTCCCAAGCAGACAATCAAAGGTTAACAATCAGACATTGAACCACTCCGCGACCTTGAGTTTAGTGAAACACGACCTTACTGTCAATAGTCCGTCAAGATGCAATAGAAAATTAGGTAACAAAAGGTAAGTCTCTGATCAAAATCACATAATAAAAGCTCAGACGAGGAGGACTGAAAAACACAAAGTGTGGCCAAAAGAGATCTGAACTAAGGTTAAAATACATGACAGGGAGAATGAACAAGTAAATGACAGTAATGTCCAACATAATTCTGTGGAGGGATTTTTATCGTTCTCTTTCCAACACAATGTATTTATTACGAAATGAATCAGTAGATAAATCGTCAATGTAGTAAGATTTTGATGGTAGAATAAGAGTTTGTGCAGCAATAGTTCAACATCGTGCGATATAAAATCTTAGTTAGGTGTGAATAATAATCATCAAATATCAACTTGTACGGGTCATATATGAGTGACAAAGATAAAATGATTCTAAAAAGTCAACTTATGTATGCGTGATACGTGATAGTATGTCTTTAATTATTAACTTTAGATGGTTAAGAATAAAGGATGATGTAGAAGAAAAACGTGGGAGAAAAATATTGACCTAGACCATAATCCTACATTATTATCATCTTTTGATTTTACCAAGTGCCATAGGCATCAGGCAAGATTATATGTATTTTAAATGGCCTAGATAAAGTTGTAGTATCCTCCAGTACAAGGACTTATTCAAAATTTAACAATACGCGAAGTCATTAATAATATACGAAAAAATGTTAATACTCTAGACCAAAGTGGTTGTTTGTGAATAAAAAAATAACAAATAACGTTTACAACAGAAGGGTTTATTAAACAACAAAGACGATAACAACTGTTATAGAATGAACGTTACTTGTAAATTCCTCTGGGAATAACAAACACAATCACAGTTAAGTTGAATAAAAAATGTACCGTTTCATGTTTGGAATCAATGGCGTGGATCAAAATATAAATCCGATAGCGTCATTGAGCATGAATGCAGTCTAAAAATCCGGCGCAATTTAGAGTGGTCTAATAGGCTGTTTTAACACTATAATAATCTTTAATAACAGGCCGTGGCTAATAAAGCAAAAGTATGAACAACGGATATATAAGTTATCCAATACCAAAGGTAAAGTGCATATGAATCAGCTAGTTAGCAATGTTAATTTGAGATGAACACAGATAAACAACAGATATAGTCTCAATTTGGCTACACATAGTGTCACACACAAAGATGTGGCCTTTATTTATTGCATATACATGTTACTATGTAAATCCTCCTTAGGGCATAATCAAGCACAGGTATGCCCTACGTAAACTTCTAGTGCTTGAGAGGAAAACGTCACACAACACATGACGAAGAGAAGGATAAATAAATAAATTGTATCGCAAAATAAATGTGTTATATGCCATATATATATTGACAATGAACAAAAACCGCGATTTGCTGAAAGAATGTGTTGTTCTTGGAGTTTTTACACATATAAGAGAATATGTATATACAAAAATTGTACAGTAACTATAATCCAATGCATACCAACGATGATAATGTAAGTTACAACAACGGTAACTATGGTGACATTCAAAAAATTGTCTGTGAGAAGAATGTTTTGTATTTTTATTATTCATAAACGGCTTATTGGCACATAGATGTTGTGAAGAAACAATTCTGCATTTCTTCAGAAATGCAATTATACACTATTTGGTTATCAACTTCTGTATCATGTGCGTCAAGTTGATTTGAGAACGAGTACTGTCTGATAATATACTCGTTAGTTAAAATACAAAGAAAAACCATACTATGTGTCTCTGTTTGTTTAAAGAAGCGTTGTTAGAATTAGAATTACACCTGACAATCCGTGTTTCACTGAAAACATTGAGCCTTCAAGGATCAGTGGAGTCAAATAATGATCGACCATTTTCCCGGACCACTTATGGCAACCACTACTTCTAAAGAGTTGCAGCAGAACGTTTGTAACGCCTACCATGACATATAATGACTCGTCGTCCTTCAGATTTGAGCCAAAACCTTATTTTGGAACTATAAATGACACTATACCAAGCGGTTACAAAAAAATTATATGCAGAACAATTAATTGACTAGACTATGCAGTCACTGAGTTATTCAACAAGGTTTTTGCAATCAAATCTAGAATTTATGAAGTATACGAACTTATAATGAACACAAAATTGGTCGCTTGTCAAAGGAGATATTCGTTTCCAGGAGGTTCACCTTTCATTGATAAAAGAAACTGGACTAGTAATAAATAGGTCTTTAGTTAGCTCGTGTGACAGTCACAGTAAAGCAGGGTGTTACCTGTTCAAACACACAAAGCTTTTCAACATTCAATATCAGAAAATAGGGAACGTAATGCCCATAAGAAATAAGGAAGTGATTGAATACTTGAGTTCTACTAGTTTGACATATTCTTGGTTGTTTGGGGTTGACCCTTAACTAATCAACGTGATCGAATAAATCTATTGTTCAGACATAGACAGCCAAGGAATTTGTACAAAACCAACACAATCTTTCTGTCAATTAACTATTAAACAAACATTTAAAGAATTTAAGCTAGTTTTAACATAATCACTGCCGAAAAAAGTCTTTGGAGATGCGCTGATTTATTACGTAGGTAGAATTACACTGTTCTCTGACAACATAATTCTTGAATTTGAACTTACGTTAGCCGTTGAAAACATGGAGGAAATCATATGAGGTGAATGCGGGAACACTTGATTGGGGATATATGGCTCGGCCATGTAGGCGCTGTCACTTGTTATTAAACAACTCATTCTATTTTCAGCAGGAGTACTTGAACATCAACTTCTCACCCTATAGATATATAGGGCCAATGAATGGCAACTGAGCAATAGCCAAATCATCCAAAAGGCAGGTTACTGAAATCGAACAATTGACTGAGCCTATTCAATGTAAAGACAACCAAATCATATTGGTCAACTGCATGCCATGAACTGGTTCATGCGGCATTGTTAGCAATGTGTTTCTTCAACCTATTCTAATGAATACTTCTCTTCAATAACACAATGTTTGTTTAGTATGTTCACTAAGGTTTCTACAGATTTTGGTTACTATGAGAGAATAACTCGTATAAAGTATTGACCGCGTAGCGTACGCTTGGAGGTTAGAACCCGGGCAAACCCCGATTATCCTCACAGACCACCAAGGTTGGTGGTTCAGAGGTATAGCAAGAGCATGTGAACTGCCTAATATGAAAAAGCAGCACAAAACCAACACTGGTCGAATCGCTGACTACTGTCACTTGGCACTCACATATTATTTACGTTGAAGAAAACCCTCTTTATCCTAGGACTTTCCTTACTAAGTATCATTCACTTTTTCACGTGAGATATCAACGGAAAAAAATTCGGTGGTTTCTGATACCATTGTTTGTGCTTTACATACTTACGATCCACCAACAGTCATAGTAGATGAGCTAAGTGAGAAGGACCAACTACGCAAAATACGAAGAAATATTATGACTACCAAACCAAAATATTGAGGTCCGTAAGTGCAGTTAAAAATTAAGGAAAAGTATGAAATATCTCCAGACAGTTCTGCTGCATACAAACAAATCAAAAATGTACAACCATAAGGATTTCATGGACGAATTCGACAATATACAACTGGTCAAATGCAAGAGCAGTTCCGGTCATAACAGATCACCACAACTTTGAACACATCCTGAAAACATTTTTTAGGTATTTTTCCTTTAAAAATGTCAAAAATTGGATGATTTAATATTGATTTATGAACTACAACGGTGAAATCTTGCTAAGAATCATTTAAACCCTTGTTTTGTTTTAGTGTGCCTTTTTATTGTACTGGCCTCTTCTATGTGTTGGCGACAAAATGTATTCCGTTATCTACCAGATGAACAAACTTGCAAATTTCATTGGTAAAGAAAGAGATGAATATAAACTAAAGTAACCAGATTTTTTACAAGCTATTGCTTAAGAGCTTCAATATGTTCTGGAGTAACTCACAAAAACAATCCTCCTCAACAGGAATTGTTAGATGTAAACATTAATCACTCTTTAATGCTTTCTGTCAATGAAATCAAAACATTTCTTTCATTCCTGGTAAGCTACAGATTCATAATTTATTCTGCAGGTAGAGGATCTGAAGCTCAGCGGGGTGAACTCATATGATGCTTTTGCCGAAAAATACAGTGGAGTCATTTACTTTTTAGTGCATATAAATATGCACAACTTTCGGTCGACATTGGAATGTATGGAAAGCAAAGAACTGAATGCCGCTTATGATAACTTGTTGGTGGATATACATAAACTGCTTTTGCTCGTCCAACAACATACGTACAATATCGACAATTTTAGAAAATACAGAAGACAAATAGCTGACCTTTTGTTTGCAGAAAGGAAAGAAAAATCCGTATCTGTTAGTCTTAAATCTTGATATTAATAACGTTTTACTTAGAAATGCCTTTTAGATACCGAAAAATTTCTTCAGGAGTATATTTTTCAGGATAACTCAAACATCACTCTTTGTGAGATGCTCTCTTGGTGGAAAGATTACGTAAATGTTCTGTTTTGTCTTTTCGATGATTTCTACTCGTCGTCAGGCTTTAGCCTTCTGCATACTATGATAATCTACCTTAGAAAGTGGTCAAAAGTCACTCATTCCAAAGTAATACTGTCACAATTATATATTCAAGTGAGCAATGTGATATGTATGTAATTTAAAACCTTTTTCAGTTTCAATTTGAGAACATCGAGTTCTTAAATGGCTGCATTATTTTATGCTTATGACTGAGCGGAGAAGTTGGGTTTTTGTATCATTAACTCTTGTTCATGTCACTTTCACTTTGTCATTGACCCAGTAGTGCAGAGTAGTTATAGTCAAATGCAGTTGATTTGACAAGCCCATTTTTATTTTTAATCACGCACTATTTTGTAGCCACACTCTGATTAGCAACAACGACTTGATGATGTGATTAATACAGTCATCAGTTTTTACATAATAATCCAGTTGGAGGAATTTGATTGTTTCTCCAGGTTATGTGCTCCTTATACTTTCATTCATGGAAACTGCTATGATGTAATAAATCTTATATGTATATGTCACTGCGTTTGTTTTCATCAACAAAACTGTATGTGTCAAAAATTATGTGCTTATTTACTTTTAACTCAAAAGTTATGAACTTTGCAATCGTTGCTGTATCAAAGAAGACGATAACTTGTAGAATATGTCACCCACAATTTCTATTTAATGTAACGAAATATAAGGTTTTGGTCGATTATCAAAGCTTATGGGAGCTATTTTCATAGTTATTTATTATTAGACAAATGATTACTATTAAGTTCTAAAATGTGTTGGTGTTCATTTTTCTGCCGTACAGATTTAAATTAATTTCCAAAAAGTGCATCATCGTTCTAATGATTAATGATGTTTTACACAACTGCACGTGGTTTCTAATTCTACATAATGGAAATTTGATCTCTTCGGCCGATAAACGTTTTTAATTCTGGGTTCATTAGCTTCAGTTTCATGGTTATATGTTTTAAATCTTTAACAGGTTATTTTATATCATTTTCAGAAACTACTAGGTGATGATTTTGGAAGGCTTTCTTTACAAGTATTACGTAACATCAATGAAATTTTAAAGATATGGTCCAACATATCGAAACAACTGAAAAGAATTCAGCTAAATATTTTAACTCAATTAGATTCTGCCAAAACGGATATTCATGGGGCAATATCACTTAGTGATAATTCAAGTGACCTGTTGGGTGAACAATTCGAAAGCTCAGAAACCAATCTTGGTACAATCTTTGATTTGAGCTTTTTTTATTCGTTTTTCTTTTATGATCAATCACACGAATACACTTTGGATACAAGGCGACACTCTTCTAGCTCTCCTCAGTCCCATAAACCTAAAAGTAAGCCAATATATTTCCAAAGATTTTGACTGCATTTTATTCACATTTTAAATAACAAGGAACATGCTAGAGACGTTAATTCCAAGAATACGTAACTATCAATATGGCACAAATTTGAACAAAATTTACTTTTGTGGCCCTCTACAATTTGGCCAATGGCATAGGATGGAAAGCATAAATACATCACACTCCAGCCTAGATGGTTCCCAGAATTGCTCCTTCATGTTTTCACACTAAAAGTTACAATATTCGACTGCTGACCAAATTTTTTTTGACTAGTTCGCCAGATTCTGTCTCCAACACTCATGAAAACAAAATATGGGCATATTTTTGCTCATTGCAACACTAATTACATATTCAGTATGACATACCATGAATCGTGGAAAATGAACTGACCAGATGATTGACAGATTGAAATACTAGTATAAACCTGATTTATCTGGTCAAACAGCTATACAGCAAAATTTGTGCGGTGAATGGAATCAGCCTTAACCTTTATTTGCACCAAAACCAATTTTTTCATGACCTTAGTTTTGTGTACATTTAGGCCACAACAACTTATTACTTCGTTTGACGAGTTTTTTAAATAGTTGTGCAATTTTAGAGTTTCTCGATTAGTTTTGTTTGAAACAGTTTACGCTGCTAAGCAGTGCTTTCGGAAGATCACAAAGTTTTGATGGTGGAGAGTTATCCAAGTTGGATAGTTTAATCGCAGAGTTTTCATTATCTTTCAGAACACCATAGAAGCCCACTTATGTAGAAGTCGGTAAGAAAGTAAATTTTTACCGTAGAGATTTACCGTTAAGATAAACTAATCTAATCTCAAAAAATTGATGTTACGTGTATAAATAGAATTTGTGATAAACAAAATGGCAAAGGAACATCTAATTGTGCTTATTATCCGAAGTTGACAGATCTGACTCATCTCTTTGTTCAGATTTTGATTTTTTTGGATCTCCTTACTATCTAATTCCAAAGACATCAAACAATTTACTAGCAATTATGAAAAGTCAAACGTCTGTTTTATGTAACTTCCTTCAATACCCTCAAATATGTGAACTTCATGCAATTTATACATTCATATAAAAGATGTTAGAGTATTTTTCAACAACCTTGCAACTTGAAAGAATGTATAGGGTTGATATACTCGTATAAAGTAAGGTATGCTTTATACTAGATATTTGGTCTGTTCAAAAGATTATAAATGCAATTCCATGTAGCTGTAGAATGGTGCGAGTTGTCTTCAGGAAGTGCTACGGTAAACAGTTGGATCAAAACTAATCATTTATTTATGAGGAACGTTTAGACCAAAGTCGTATATTAAGTGCAACGAAATCCACCAAACACGTAGGACTTTCATTTTTAATGCATTACTAAAACTTTATTCATCAACACAAGGGGTCCCGGCTTTTATATACAAAATGATTTATCGTTCTTTTTAATTCGTGTTATTGGCTTACGGTCTTGGGTATATCTTAGTTGTTTAACTCTGTTTACATAAAGATATTGTTGACGCATTCATTTCGTTATTCTCCTTCACCATATCTTATTTTAGTTTATAATTATTCCACAGTGCTATGCAATATTTTGGTTGGGTGTAATAAGGCTTATCCAAACTTTGTGCCATTTTTAACTAATATTCATGAATAGGTTTATGCTTTTGAAGAACACACCATTAACAAGACAGATGAAGTAATATTACTTATACGATTGTTGTTTTTGTAGGTGCATTGAAAAAATCAGGTGATACATCAGTAACTCCAGGTAAGACAACAATTTTCCATTTCAAAAGTACATTTGTATCCTACAAAATAATCAATGTTTTTCAAAATGCTGTCTCTCACTGCTAAGTAGATTTGATTTCAATCCAATGCGCAATTATCCAGTGTAACCTCACACCACTGGTAGACTCGACTGAATTTGACATAAAATTTCCTACCAGCATAAAAGCAGAGAATTTAAAACTGGAAGTGATAGAGAATATTATGTTTTAAATGCTCTAATCAACAGACCACACCGAGAGCGAAGATGAATGAATTATTTGCTGGTGTGTGGTTTACTTTTTATAGTGTTTGTTGATCGTTGTATGAATCCTTGAGTGAGCCTACATATTCCAGACGGTGAGTGCAACATGACAGAAAAACATGTTAATAATCATATGTATGTAGAATACGCACATGAATAAAACCTTATAATTAATCATATGAGTAAATACTAACTAGTTAGTAGAGTTAAAATGATACACTTAATTGTCACATGATTGCTTGACCTCTAATTACTTCTAACATAGGCCTGTACATGATTACAACGTAAATTCATGATATGAAGGCAGGTTTTCCCAGGTGTATGCTTTAGATGAATGAAATTAGTCTACTGCATGCAACAATAACACTTGTTACCCCGAATTTCCTTTCATAATAAAGGCATGATATAAGCTTAAGTTACTTATAAGTAGATCAAAATCAGTTATAAAATATCTTCTGAATTTCATTGGAGTCATGAACTAAGAAGAGGCATCAAATATTGATCATATGCCTTAATTTCTGACCTCCAAGTCAATAAAATAAACCTCATTGAAATGAACTTTAATATTGTTTGATAAAGTTTAGCCCCACAATCCAAATTTATTTACTTCCCTGAGTTGGAACGAAACTTTATTTACATAAAGATCCACCACTATTTGCATTATCAAAGAAATATTCTTTTTAAAGTCCCTAGTTAGCTCTATTTATAATTTGGTCAGAGCTTGATTTATAAGATTTGGAAATGTTGGATTTCATGAGGACACGAAATAACTAATAAAAATTATGTATCACAAATACCCAGGTATATTTCGAACAAAGCTACACCAATTATAGGCAAAGATGGATAGTGGCTAGCAGTGGAATACAGGACGCGCGTTTCGTCCTGTTTGGGACTCGTCAGCTGGATGTACCTGCATCTCAGGGTTGATGTTCACTCTGGAACTTCACCCCATTGCACAAGCAAGTGGCTATGAGGACTCAGTAGCTAAGTGGATAACGCGATGGCGTTTGAAGCGAACGGTACTGAGTTCGAGTCACACAGTGAACATCAACGCTGAGATGCAGGTACATCCAGCTGACGAGTCCCAAACAGAAAGAAACGCGCGTCCTCCATTCCACTGCTAGCCACTATCCATCTTTGCTTATAATGCTTGTAAATTAAGGCAATATCGAGGCATACGCACAGTATGCACATATGCCAATAAGAGACTGATCAATTTCAGTCCTAAAATATCAATAGGAAGATTCAAGTAAAAAAATATCAAGTGAATTAAAGCTACACCAATTTCACACGTAAGATTCACGTTCACTAATTGAATATTTTTTACTATATCGTCTTATGTCTTGCCTGTTACTTCTAGAGAAAGTGAATATTTCTAAAGAAACAGAAACAATTCTATGGGAGCCAGTTTATACGATGAATAAGTCGTTAACAAAATGTTTAATTCGCGCAACATTGGAAACTCTACAAGATTATGCCAGTCAATTACAATTAGGATGTAATCCAACTGCGATCGACATTATGAATAGTAGTAAAAGAGATTCAAATCAATGCGCAAATAATCTGAATATTGAATATTATAACTGTTTAAATATACTTTTGCAAACCCCAGTATTTGCTACATCAGTACATGGACAATTATTCAATCCAGCGGATTTATGTTTTAGTGATTTTTGGTATCATAAAAACCAAAATATACTCGATGAACAATTCAATCCTAGTTTTACAACGCAAAATATGTTGTGTTCATGGAATGGTGCTGTTGGAACAGGAGCAGGTTTACCTATGCCTAAAATTTATATTAGTAAGGTATGTAATGTCTTCAGGTAAAAATAATCACCTAGTCTTAAGTTTGCACAAAGTGGTTTCAGTGTTATTATTAGAAATAACTCCCATCATAGATGATATCCTCCTATAAGTGAAAAAGTTTATCTAAACGATGAAATTTCAATATAACCTATAACCAATTTTTTAAATCACTTTATGTCTATCATTTATTTCCTATGTGATTTTATCCAAATTTGAATGTTCTATTGTCTGAAGTTCTGGTTCCCAACTTTCAGTTGTAAGCTAGTAACTGTCATCTATACATATCCATTAACTCGTAAACATTGTCCCGATAAAGATAATCAACTTGATAAGAAAAACAATTGTCAGTCAGAAAGCTTTGGATAAGACAAAATTTTAATCTGTGCATCCATAATGTCATCAAAATAACTAATTGCTTGAATTTATGGATAACGTTTACTGTCACTGTAGATTATTTAACTGAGTTATTCATTTTTCTTTCTGTTTTAACTTATAATTAGTCTTTACAAGCTTTCATCGCATTCAATCTTGAAATTCTTCTGCCTATGATACTGAATTTATTACAAATTGATATCAATGAACAACAGTCCAAATCTCAGTCCAACAACCGGGAAAATTCAAACAATAATTCTGAGGAATTCGATGATGATTTAAACAACAGGCAGTATACAAATAATTTAAATGATGATAGTCTGAGACTATTGATTTCTGAAGTGATCAATGTTTTACTTACTATTTTAAATGGCCATGGATTAAATAAGTCCTTCAGTGTTGATATCACTGACAACTCTGCTACGGAAAATAATGAAAATAAGAACGATACTAAGGAATTTGTCGGCTTAACTGCACAACTGAGTACAATTACATTATCTGTTGACTGGGACTTAAATGGGATTGAAAAATTAGCTCTATGTATTTCAGATTGTTTAAGTCTACGTGCATTGTGTAGCTTATTGGCATCAATATTTGATAGAGAAAATGAGTCCCCAGTTAAATCTTTCAAGTTTAATGGACAACATAATGTGTAAGTTTCAAGTTTGGTGAACTTTTTGACAGGAAGGGATTTATAGTAATTATACTGTAGGTTGTTAGATTAACGAGTAAGATTTATGAAAAGAATTCATTCCTAAGTTAAGTGTTTCCTGAGCATTAGTTAATTTTTTCAATAGAGTTCTAGCTGCTGATCAATATATTAATACGTATGTACACATTTGGAATTCATAAATTTTGTCCGGAAATTCAGTAGCATCAACTTACTGGATGAATTCATTCAAGAATATTTAATTCGTGAATACTAACATTTCTACTGAATGCAGTCTGAAAAGGCTATCTGTTTCAAATCCAACAGTTTATTTTAAGGATGTTGATAATAGTTCTGTTCAAACCTTAAACGTAATGAGCGCCAAATAGTTCAAAACGCGGATCCAAGATTACTTATTGATTGGTGTCTCGTTTACGTAAAACTAATTCCAGTGATAAGCTAACTGTTAATTGGAAGTCGAGAAAGATTCCTTAATTTCTAGTGAGATCTTGGGGAGCTACATAATTGCATACCAATGATATAGAATTATTATTACGCTATTAAGTGAATTAATTACTCACTGATTATTAATATTATTACCTCTTGGTCTATACATTTGTAAGTAGTACTGTATTTAAATAACCTATCTACACTCATTTTGGGTTCAGTTAGTATTTGCCAGCCATCTCATATACCCAATATACAACTCTCAAAAACTGTCTATAAAACTGTTCTATGAACTGAAAGGTCTATCACTAAAATGCTTTAACAATCTGTCAAAATTTCAAAGTATCAATGGACGGCTTATATTTTTAGTCTTCATATACATGAAAATTATCATCTGACATATAACTGAGTTTTTTAAACATTGTTCTTACACTCGTTTCGTGAAAGAAACCTTCAGTAGTATATTATTTATATAGCTCGAAATTCTACTACTCTATTCTAATTGTGGCACACTGAAGATCTGCCTAGAAGTAGTAAAACACGATATCTGACAGCTCAACAACTAAATTAGTTTCAACCGCCTATCGTTAACATGATATTGAGCCACTTACAGTTATGGCCACATAGCAACTTAATCGATCGAATTCGACCAACACTAAAGGACTAAACACATAAAACATTGATTTTTACTTAAAGATCAATCGATCATAAAATGCCATTGTTTTCAGTATGATTTATGAAATTACGTTAATATATAGAGAGCTTGATAGTGATTGATTAAGTGTATCTTCATCACAGTGTAATACTAACTTTTACAGACTTCGGTTCAATATTAATTTGATCATTTGACTATTTATATCACTAACTGATATTGTCTGATCGATAGTAAAAGTCAAAGAGTATTAGTAAGCTGTCGTCCTTCTTGTTTCAGAACAAGTCATTATGTATCTGTGACCCATCTATTAAAATCATCCCTAAGGTACTTGGACTTTTTGACTTTCAAGTCATTCATCAAAGTTACTGTAACTGATTTCAGCGATAACCTTTGTCAGTCCTAATTACTTCATAAATTCGGTTCACACTGCCGTGATCTCACATTCCAATAAAAAAGCTAAATCTACTCACCACAAACACGATATAAGTCAACAATAATACAAAGGAAGTCGAAGAACAATGTCTAGCTATATTTTGAGTTAATTCATAATGAAAATACGAAATTTCAGTGATTGGCCACAGAACCTGTAGTTCTAGATTTCAACTTGAAATGAATTTAATCAATTATCTAACAAATATCAACCAACCCAAATTGGTTGTGCACTCTTTCGTATATCACGTTCATTTCGACTTTTTTTTCTTCTATAGAACATCCCTCTTCCTTGGATGTGCGAAAGAATACGATGTATCAATACGTTTAATGAGTGAACAAATCACCGACATCAGTCTAGTATATTATTATAATATTGGTTTTACAATTGAAGAAGATTTAAATTACTTAAACAAAATCAAATTACTGTTGTTGCCAGACCAAGTTAAATTGCAATCAAATCAATCAGTATTAGGTGCTCAATCAGATATTAAACATTTAAGTAAACCTATTCAATCAATATGGTGTATTTTGTCCAATATGTGGTCAATATTAATTCAGACATGTCCTGGAGGTTTAAGTAGACAGATTATGGCACATGTTAGTTCAAAACTCTTAGAGTCTGCAGTACAACAACTTGATGTTTCTAAAATAAATTCAGGTTTAGATTTTTCTATGCAGTTTAGGTAAGTAATTATTTAAATGATTTATGAATTATAAATGTTAACTTCAGTAATTACCGAATGATTGATATAACTGACCTTACTAAGTTTTTGATGAAATTTCTTCAGTGCTTTTAATTGCGAATTGATATTGAAATGAGTATTAAACCATCTAGACACTCAACAGGATTTTTAGCTAACCGCAGATCTAATAAAATGCAGTACTAAAAGAAATACGTAGAACAAATATCATCGTCTTTTCTTATCCCAACTGACTCAGCGTTCATATCACATACTATTTGACAACCCTGAAGCTTGGTTAAAAAAGGAGAGAGATGGTCAGCTCATGAAATAGCACTGTGGAATAACAACGTTTTCTATAAATCTGGTATCTTTAGATTCGTTATTAGTAACCGAACAGGGGCCTAAGAAGCATTTAACTCACTGAATTGTAATTTTAACCCATATTAGTGTTCCTGTTGCAGAATAATCTCCACGTGTATAGAAAAAATCTAATCATATTTTCATAAAATATTTTTAAACAGTCCAGCAATCTTGTACAGGGCATTTTGTTCATACAGCATACAACTGTTCACCTGAGACCTTAGATTCAATATTCTGGAATCATTTAATCTATAATTGAACTGATCAGCGTAAATCTGTCTAGAATGGTTGTATTTCCACAAAGTGTTAGGACTGACAGGAGTAGTCGTTATTCATTGTTTGTTAGCGTTATTTAGTGCAATTTATTTAATATCACTCCGTTCAGTTATAACATTAATTAACTGCGAAGTTAAACTTCCAACGTAAGCTAACAAATATAAAGAATCAAATTCACACTATTTGTTGTGTCGAACTTAATATCATAACGTTAAATAACAACAATACAAAATATGAAAAGACCTAAATTTTATTGAATAAATTGTTAACTTTATGAATGTCACTTTAATCAGAACTAGTTTTTACCCTAGTTCTTATATCGAACAAGAAAAATTTGTACTTTTTATTTCATTTTAGAGATGAATTATGGCTAATTCTTGCTATTGCGAAATTCGCGCTTTATCGATCAGCTGAAACAATATCTGAAGTACTAGGTGTAGGTAACCTATCAGTTGAGTTGAATACAATTCATACAACAGGTCTACTAACTACTCAAATGCTATTATCGTGTTATACTCCGAGACATTTGTGGGAAAAGTAAGTAATTAAAATGGTATTTCCAGAAATTATCATCTAGTGATGATTATTTTCACTCATGATCGATAACATCTAACACTATTAAATTATCAAACAATATTAAATTACCTACCGTGGTTATTCTATTTTTAGAAGCACGTGGTGATCTACTAAAAACCAGCGTGCCCTACAGCGTATTTCAGTGAAATTTTATCTCTAGTCTGAAGTTGTAACTAATTTTAAACCCAAATAACTCTTAGTTTTCTCTTTTACACCAACAGGACAGTAATTTGTCTTAGATAATTACCTACACTAGATACCTTGCGACTGTCTGTTCTACAGGACGTCAACACAACTCTAATCAATAACATGTGACTGGCCTGATTAGAATGAGGTTATATCACCATGTCAACGACCGACAATAAAAACAGTAATATCAGATCTAATACCTGTCAGATTATCTGCAAGTCCGACTAGATAAATAACCAATCACTGCTTTTCTCGCCCACCCTTACTTACGCCCGTTACCCCTCGTCGAAGAGTATAGACCGCCCACCAGCATTCTCCTCCCAACTCTGTCTTGAGCAATCCTTTCCAGTTGTTATTCATTCTGTTCATGTCTGTTTCCTATTCTCGGTGGAGTGTGTTCTTTGGCACTCCTCTTCTCCGTTTCCTTCCAGAATTCCAAACTAGTGCTTACTTCGTGATGAAGTTTGATTGGGTTGGTTAATGCAATTTGTATTGTGTTTGAGAATCATGCTTTGTCCCTTGTGTATGTTGAAGTTTACTGATACAGAGGCTGCTGCTACATTGACTGTTTTCACTTGTATTTGTTTGTGTGTGTGCGGGATAGAAGAGCTAGGTGGTCTGTAAAGTCCAAATCATCTAGTTTTATCCAAACTGCCAACTGTATTCCGTGCTTCTCCTGAGATGTGAACGTCTTCACAATCCAGTCGACCACCAGATAAAAGAGGAAAGCCGAAAGTAGGCAGCGTTGTCTGACTGCGGCTCTTACTTGGAATGCGTCTATCAGCTGTCCTCTATGCACTACTTTGCAATGTAGTCCGTCGTATGAATTCCGGATGGTACTGACGATTTTTTCAGGTACTCCATAGTGTTGAAGAACGTTTCATAATACCCTGTTATCCATACTGCCAAATGCTTTCTCATAGTCAATGAGGTTGATGCATGGTGATGAATTCCACTCAACTGATTGTTCAACAATGATCCGTAGTAAGGCGATGTGGTCTGTGCACGACCGATCACTACAGAATCCGTTCTATTGATCTCGAAGTTGAGCGTCTACTGAGTCTTTCATCCGGTTCAGCAACACTATGTTGAAAACTTTTTCTGGTGCTGACAGTAATGTGATTTCTCTGTAGTTCTCACATCTTTTTACTCTGGTATTTTTATGAGATATCCTTCCTTCGAGTGTGTTGGTGGCATTTGTTCTTCCTCTCAAATATTCCTGAATAGAACGTGTAGCATGTTTAAATTTATTTCGACGTCTGGTTTCAGAGCTTCAGCTGGTTTACTGTCAGATCCCTCTTCTTTCCCATTCTTGATTTACCTGATAAGCATTCTGATTTCTTCGATTGTTGGTGGGGGTGACATCTATTGAAAAGTCTGTAGGCGCTGTTGGATTCAATGGAGCTGATCTATTCAAGAGTTCCTCAAAGTATCCCATCCATCTGTTCCTCTGTTCTTGAATCTCGGTGATTGTCTTGCTTTCCTTGTCCTTTACCGGGCTTTATGGTTTCCTATATTTACTTGCCAGTTTCTTCGTTGTGCCATTTAGTTGTTTCATATTTCTTTCTCTTGCTGCTTTTTCCGTTGACGTTGTTAGATCTTCCACATATTTCTGCTTGTCGTTTCTAATGCTCCTTTTGACTTGATTGTTTGACTCGGCGTATTCGTCCTGTGCCTTGATTTTCTTTGCTCTTGTTTGGTTGTTGTTAATAACTGTCTCCATTTTCTTTTTTTTCTCGAATGTTCTCCAGTGTTTCCATAGAGATCCGTTCCCTATGATTATGCTTCTTGCAACCTAGAACCTCCTGACACGTTGAAATTAGTGCTTGTTTAATCCCCTTTCAATTGAACTCCATGGCAGTTTCTTCTTCTGAGAGTAGATTCTATAAAGCTTTAAGCTATTGTTGAGAGTTATCTTGAATTCGTCGGATTTGTCAGTATCTCAAAGGGAGGCTGTATTGAAACATTGTAATGCTGTTTGTCCAGTTGTCCAATTCTTCTTTAGCTTCGGTTTCATCTTCGCAACCACCAGCTGGTGATCTAAAGCTATGTCAGCTTGTCTCCTGGTTATCACGTCACACATTGGCCTTGCAAATATTTTACTGATGCAAATATGATCGATCTGATTATCCGTAATGTGATCCGGTGAGACCCATATAGCTTTGTGCATGTAATTGTGGGGGAATATTGTGCCACCTATAACCATCTTGTTGAATGCATATAAATTTGAAGATCTCTCTCCATTTTCATTCCTTTATGTCAGTCAGTCAGTTCATGTTGTCTCGTGACACCTTCACATTCGGTGTTGTCCATTCCGACTTTGGCATTTAAATCTTCCATCTGGTTGGTCAGGTCATTTCCTGAGTACTTCTCCATGAACGATTACAGTGTCTCGTAAAATCGAACTTTATCGTTGTCATTGTTACCAATGGTGAGTGCATAACATCGGATAACATTCATCGTGATTCACTTCTTCTTTGTTTTGAAGGATGCTTTGATGATCCTGGATCCATTAGATCCTCATCCTATAGGTGGATTACGTGCTTCTTTGGACAGCATCAGAGAAACTCCCTGAGTGTATGGAGCATTTTCCTCTTCGTGACCTGAGTACAGAAGCGTCTCTCTCGTATCTAGCCTTTGCTATCCAGCTTGGGCCTAATGGGTTTCATTTATTCCTAGGACCGCAAAGTTGTTTCTCCTCATTTCCGTTGCTATTTGACTGGTTCTCCCAGGCTCTCACATAGTCCGAACATTTTATGCACGTGTAAAAGTTGTTGCTCGGGTTGTTAGAAGGAACGTTGACCTCGTGACTTCTTGAGAATCTCAACTTCCATCCTGAGGCGTCATAATTCTCCTGAATGAAGATCCCTCAATTCGAAGGGAAGAGTTTAAATAGTTTAAGTTGTTTATTCCAGTTATCGTATTATTAGCAAGGTGGTTTCCTACGGGACAGGATTGCTGACCCCATACCTAACCCTCCTTCTTTACCCAAGCTTATGGATGGCCATAACTCAAGAAGAGCCACAGGTGGAGTCTCGCGCCAACACATTGGAAACATATTGTTTGAATAAGGTTACAGCCTCGTGAGGATGCGAGAACTGAAGACTAATTAACCAAATGCAACTGAGAACATTACTGTCATTATTCTTATCATGAGTTTCATGCCATATGATAAATGATTCCTCTCAATGGAAAGCTACTTCCAGAAAACAAATTAAACTTGAGAAGCCCTAACTAATTAACACTTACTTTTATTCTTAAACAGATTTCCATTTGATATCGTGCTAGTTTATTCCATAAACAGACTCGGACCATTGTCGATTATTTATCTGAATTCAGTTAAAAGAAATCAGATGGAGTTAATTTTAAACAATTACTATTTTGATAATATGTTAGCGAATAGATTTGTTTGTAAATGAAGTTGGAATTCAAAGATGGAAGAATCTGAAACAAATTGCGTTGATTCTAGGAAAAGTTGATGTCTATAGTGAGACATCTTAAAAGTAAAGATGAAATGACACAAAAACTATTATCCGGTCTCTAACCATATCTTGATGTCATAAAAATCTTTGTTTTAATAAAAGTCAGTAATCAAATTGATTTCATATTAAATTCATATAGAAATTGAATAACTAGACCTGAATGTGATATTTCTTATCTAAATATTCAATAGAATATTTTCACAATGTTTAATTTTTGTTCATTTTCAACAGACCTTCTGTGAGCTACATAACTTGTGCTAAATTTCATCTCCTCGATAATTTTTTGCTCCAAAATATAAACTTAATATATTATGATCTCTAACTTTATACACTTTAAATAGGAAATTCTTTAAACAATATCAATTTGTGATATTATTCATTTTCAATAGTTGAAATCATGAGTCAATTGAAACTAGACCACCATGAAAAACCTGGAAGCAATGGACGGCCGTTTTGTTCTAGTGTGGGACTCCTGAGCAGTGCGCATCTATATGATTTCAATTACTGAAATTACCAAACTTTCCACAAAACCCCTGCTGATTATTCATTTTGTTTTAAGGTTCCTCACCTGAAATTATACTATTGATAAGAAATACAAATTTATTTCATGAATAATTTTGTAAACTTTTAATAAAATTCACAAAGATCCAATTCACAATATAAGACAATTAGAGAAAGATAGTTATAAACAACATTTATCAAACTTTTAAATGTAGTCTAATAAGTAAAATCTACAAATACTACTTACCTATTCATTATTAAGCTAATAGTATACCTCATCTCATTTTTATGTGTATCCATTTATATTTTGATAAATGAAAAATTTAATTTAGATTATTTGCATCATTATTTTTTCGGTCTTCAAATTATAGACTTCATGAAAAAGGATTTTACAGTTATATAGTAGAAAATACAAATAAGACGTTTGATTTCAGTTTATCTAATTGGTTAGCAATTGTTGATTCTACTCGATTCCATGACATTCCAATACATTTAATGTAAGTATTATTGTGTTGTTTGGTTTCTATTTATTATTCAATTACAATTATATTTTTTTGACAAGTTGAAATCATGAGTCAGTTGAAGCTAGACCACCATTGAAAACCTGGAAGGACTGGACGGCCGTTTCGTCCTGGTATGGGACTCCTCAGCAGTGCTAAAAAAAACAAAGACTGCATAATTATCGAGAAGTTAAAGAAGAATAAGAGGATGAATCAATCAGTTAGTCAGTCAGTTACAACGTAGGACCAGGCACATACATGCATCGGTTCAAGACGAACACCGGATTCATAGAAACAGTTAACTCAATGGTGTAATATATAAAGGAAATATTTTATGCAGGGATATAGTACAGAAAGAAAGATATGACATAATTTTAATCTCATAGTTTAAGAGAAGACAATGAGTGAATACACCTATGACATTGTGATCGATTCTCAGCCATGTCACACAGAGTTTCTAACGATTGGTTACGATAGTCACGCGGACCCCAATCAAGTAGTCTGCATCTACCGACATGGCTAAGACTAGAAGTTAGTGACTTCAAGCACTGATGCCATGTTTTGGTTTGGCCGCCTCTAACTTTTTTCCAACCATTCCCAACACTAGTCAGAATTGCGCAGGGTGGTTATCGGTGTTCAGACATACGTAATGCTGTCAGGAAGAGGATGAATATTATTCATGGGTCAAAAATATGAGAGATAATTATTCACTGAATAAATATGATGTGAAAAAAAAACAAAGGTTATGATAACAACTACGACAGACAATGGACAGAAGTTGCACAATATCGTGTACTGATCGAAGTTAGACAATAACGTTGTTGAATGCTGACTCACTGAACTAAAGGTTAAGCATTCGTGAGCGAGAATTAAGGTCGTGGGTTTGATTACCGGATGCGGCATTGTAAATCCACACTAATCAATGGTCATACACCAGGATTAAGCAACCGTCTAATGTTAACCGGTTCTCACTTGTGGCCTACCCAAAGACCAGTTCTTAATTTAAACTATGAAAATTATTCAATCTTCACAAATTCCCCTATACTGACTGAATAATAATCATGAAAAATCTTTCGAGAATAATTATAATAAAGGTAAAACAACGTAGCGGAGGGTGTTAGGGACAGGTAAGTATTAGAGACTGGACTTATTGTCCTATATATAAAGTTCAGGGTTGAATCGGTGAGTTACCAAATCATCAGCCATGCACACGTATTCCATGCAACTAACTAAACAGTGCAAATAATTTTGAAGAATGGTTTTTGTAAGCCAAAGCACTTAGAGTTGATAAGATGTTCCTGTTTTGAGCTACTGATTGTTTTACACTCTGTCTAAGAGTTACACAGGTTAATCCTTTGAGATTTACTTAGAAAGTGTTCGCTTCGTAAAGCCCATGTACGCTGATCGATAAAAGCCCAAAGCGGAATTTGTTCTTTGACACACCCATGAATGATAGGCCCACTGGAGAAGGTAATACGGAGCTTAGCGGCATAAAATGTTTTCATCATTAGATTTTTGGAAGTTTGACTGTAGTATCCCTTTTCAACTCAATTTTCATGAAGTGAGCTTTTTTAATGTCAGTGATATTTCAGGTTGTAGTTTCGTTCAGTAAACCTGAGTGATCAATTGGTTGTATACATCTCAGTCCTGCAGGAGACCAGTTTTTGATCAAATGTCTCAGTCGTAAAACCCCAGACTGTGGAGTTGGACGAAATAAATCTGAATCACTTAGGAATATTCAGTGCCTTTAAGATTGTAGGTACTCCTTATTGACCAGTGTCGACAAGCGCGAAACCTAAGTCCAAAATTTCCCTCCAAGTACTTCTAATCATCTTCCTCCCTCTAAATTTCTAGTTTTCCATTAGCTTGAATAAAATCATCTTGAAGGAAAGTAAAATTAAATTAATCTATCATTCCTTAAACAATCTATTCTGGTTCATAACCAATTAGAATAGCTCTATACTTGTGTGATTAAATTAATGCAATTTAAATTAGAAATTCATGAATAACTTTTAAGTTCAAAAACCTCTAGTTTACAAGCGAACATTTCTCTTCTTTACACATTTTTTTCATATTTTTTTTATTCTTAGGAAAGAACATCCACGACAAACAGAACTAGAAATAGAAGTAGAACTATTCTCCGTATCAGGCCATTTTGATCCTGTTAGAATTATTAGTGTAAGTTTGTAACTAAAATCATTTGAAACACTGAAATCATTTATATCATATTGCTCGAACGAAAGACATGGGTAAATAGGCTAATTAGTTTTATTACTTTTATAAATATAAGACACTGACTAAATTATTTTCTAAAAAAAAACATGTGCTCAAATAAATTTTGTTCATAAGGGACATTTCTCAAGGAAATATGTGTATGATATAATCTTAGCTTAAATACTGATGCGCTAATCAGCGTTATTAATAGTAAAGATGATATGTTAAATGATAACGAATTATTCCATTAAACCGAAACTTACCACTCTATTTCCTCAATATTCTTATTATAATCGGAACGACTCAAGATTTTTCAGGACAACCCAAAAATCTGTTGGCCTTAAAAACAGAAGTTGGAGAAAAAAATTCAAGCAACTTTTATAAAAAATATCAAATCAAAAAACTGAAGTGCCTAGTCCTATGCCACGTCTTGTCAAAAGGAAATGGCATACCTGGGCGGGAGATAAACTTCACGTAGTTATCTATGTGTATCGTTCATAGTAAATGCGGTTATGATTTTGTTTATTTAGTCACATATTTGTAAATATTTTGCAATAATTCCTAGTATAGAATTAATTGGAAGTATAACTTTTGCTATGTTGTAATTTGTTTCCATTATGACAAACTGCGTTACACTTGATGCGCTAGTAGCATGATGGAGTGGTATTTTCACCGTAGAAAACTACATTTTTCATGTATGCAAGCAAAAACTACAGAAAAAGAAACACACCCTTCGTCATGGATTACGATAGTGTAAGTATAAATTACCGCTCCACTTTGGTTGGCTATCAGGTTCAAGGTCAAAATTACGAACGAGAGTAGAGATTAGCCTTAGCTTTCCGGTTCGCTTTCTCGCTTTTCAGTTTTAATGTCTGCCTGAGTGAACGGGTTTATGAAATAAATCCATCCAACTCAATCCGTATTCGGCTTCTTATTACCACCGTCGCAAAAAAGGGCACTGAAAATTATTCTTGGTTTTAGACTGTTTGTAAATGTTAACATTGCTGCTTGTTTGTCATAATAGTAACAATTACTATTAGAAAAAATGCGTCATTAAATTTTCTATATTTACAATAACAGTTTCTTCATTTAGTGACAGTTTTCTTTTAGATTAAACTTGCCGTTTTCTATAGACATTTTGGTAACACACTTTTCATGATCTGACTCATTTGGGTTAAAATCATTGTACACAAACAACAGGTGCAATTTCGATCATCTTTAAACCGTGATACAGTAAGCACGAACAGTTTTTCTGTCTCGTTTTCGCATCTAAATTGTGGCTTCAAGACCACATCCCAAGTTTATCAATCTTTTATTGTATGGGGTTGTGGAGATTGTTGAGTTTCTATTGAGACCATGAACCGACTAATGTTAAATCGCCAATGGAAACTTGGGAGTACTGGACGGCCGTCCCATTCAGACATGGGACTCCCTGGCAGTGCGTATCTATGATCTCGCAGGTGGGACTCGGACATGAGACCTCCAATTTCTCGCGTGGACGCCTAACTTTTAGATTACTGAGCCTGCATTCGACGGTGTTGGAGTCTAACGTCAAGTGGTCTACGATATTGCATTAGATAGGCAAAAGTCTCGCACCTAACACAGTTGAACTCTATTGGTCACGGCTTCTCACGAGAACTCAGAGAATTACCTTTCGAATCTGATCACTAATGAGTACATGATAATTATCCGTATAGGATATAGAGGTTTAGTGTTGGCGCGATACGGAAGGTCCTCGCTTTGAATTTCGTGTGCCGAATCGAGGATGTACACTACTGAGGAGTCCCATACTAGAATAGAACGGCTATCCAGTAATTTTAGGTTTTCAATCGTGGTCTAACATTGATCAGTTCATGATCTCAATAAAAAATCTTTTATCAACTGGATCGAATCTCACCAAATAGCATCTTTTAAAATATTTATCAACTTTTTGTAGAATTAAGAATGCTTCTTACAGTAGTAAATTTTTGTTCTGATCTTTAAATACTCAATCTGATTCATAAACAGTAATCGTTCTCGACCAAAACTTATATTATAAACAAGAAGATAGTATTGTGTTTATAAATTTCACATTGATAATAAATTCCATACTTATTAATTTGTGTGTAATACATTTCAATCTTATTATGCACTTTTTCATTAGAATATTTTGAATAATGCAAAATTTCACTCTTGTTTTTCTTTACTCAAACCAATATGAATTCAACAGTTGTTAACTTCCTGGAATTACAAATTAAGTCTTTTAATACTTGAAACATTGTATGCAAATCAATCAACTGATATTTTAACAGATAAAGAGAAACTTGTGGCAAAACAATTGTTCATCTCAATACTACGTATACTGGATGCAATACCAGAATATACAGATTTTTTAGGCAAAGTTGTAGAGTTAGTTATAATCCCAGGGTAAGATTATCATTCAATAACAACAATTTACTTTGATTTGTTTGTCTAAAACAAATTAGTGATTATCAGAACTTTGTAATTGAACATTGAAGCAGGTTATGTTAGTATTTCTTAGATTCGTAAGATTTTTCAAATGAGTTAACTTAAGAAATTTTAACTTGCTTTGGATAACATTCCTGTTTAAACAAAATCTTAATTTCTGCCACTGGCAAAAGAAACTAGTGTCAAAATCTCAGATAACTTTGGTGAACTGGATAAATTTATATGCACACCATTGCACATCGTTTTCATATATTTCTTCTACTGAAATCTTCAAAATTTTCATTATAAATTATTAAACTAACGAGTATCCAATAGCTGTTTGGTCTTAGAATAGGACGAGTTAAGAATTGAGGAAATTACAGACGGTACAATATGGTTTGAGAATTTCAGTCGGGCGATATAAATGGTTGAATTATGACCCAGTAGTTAAATTGTAAGAATACTCAGTACAAGACTTACAGATTTTGTGCTATTTCTCACATACGGTTGAAAATAATGAATTTAATTTAGTACTTAAATAAAAGAAAAATGATTTTCAATGATTCCTAATTTTCACTGGCTCTTCAGTATATCTTTATTTATGATTAACTTTTGATTAGACTTGTTATTGGGTTCCGAAAATTCTCATAATCAATAGTAGAAGTCAACATAACAATCATTGTCTTAGCTGTGATTAATCTAAGGACAGAATATATATGGTTTTTTTCGATACAATAACCGTCAATAAATACTAATTCATTTACCATACCTAATACCTATATTCACAGTGCAGAATAATCTCCATACTTAGATTGAAAACAGACAATATTTAGCATTGCAACATATTGATTTTCTGTAATATAAATCTATATTTTCTTTTTAGGAAACAATTTGTAATCTTTTTTTTACTTTTTTCAGATCAGAAAAATGTAAATTATTAAGTCGAACATTATTAGATCATAAAGAATGGCCTTTATGGTTTGATGTATTAGTTCAACTATTGGCTGAACCACTAGAAAGGTAAGTTGACACTTGTGTAATTTTCTCTTATTAACATTTCTTCACTGAGTGTAAGATGATCTCAATGATTGGTATATTAACATTTTCAGTGATAACATTAACAAATCCACATAATGAAATATTCTAATTTGATTGTTAATTTAATGCATATTTAATCATTGACAATTCATTTCATAGTCTACCATTGCTCAGTGCTTATGAGATATAGGTATTACATATTAACTGAAATATATTTCTCATTAAAAAAAAAGCGAAGAACAGATATTCCATTTAAAAGAATTTCAATAACTTGTATGTACTATCCGGATCAAATGCGCTGTATTACTAATTCATTTAACTTAATGAAAAGTTCGCAAACCTGATCCTTAAAGTCGTTTTAATACTGATCATTAGATAGTAAAAAGTTATCTACATTGCCTACTGATGTCTTGAGCGAATTCAGCCTATCAGCAATAAATAAATTTAATGATGTTTATTCGGTAGAATTCTGGTTCATAACCTTCAGAATAAAGTATCCTAATAGTCGTCTTCAGTCAAAGTATTTTATGGAAGTTTATCTCGTCCATTTTAGTATGTAAATGTATGTAAATATTTTGGACTGAATAGTTGTTGAGACGGCATCCTAGAAGCGTGATGAGGCTTCCAAAGGCCCTAAAGAAGCCAAAGAGATTCCACCCAATCAGAACATGATAAAGCTTTCTAGAATATCAACGTGGCATGCGACGATTATACGGTAGCATAACTTTCCTCCTTGTTGTTTGGCTGAATTATAATGATGTTATAGCCAGAATTAATAGCTGTAAATACATACGTTTTTCTGTACATTTTGATTCCTACCCATCAATCACTTCTCCTGCTTCTTCTCTCTTCTGATTTGCGACTGTGGGATTTTTTACGTTCGGGCGCCGTTAGTTTTATATCGTACTTCTGCGTTAATCAATTAATGAACGTAACAACAGTACAATGAGCATCCCATAGCTCTGAAATTTAAAGGTTCCGCTGATTACCACTCAGTGATCTGTCAATGTTAAATAGCAGCCCATTGGTAACGGATCAGATTGGGAATCTGGGTGATATGATTACACATTACTCAGGGATCATTAGTTCTCTCAAGAATGTGCTGAGAATTCTATATTGTACTAAAATATAATATTGAATAAAGCCATTAATAATAATAATAATTTAGGTAAGCCCTGCTGACCACCAATCAAGAAACTTAGATTCAGGGTTTCCTAGTGATGACCACCAACCAATTAACAGAAAAATTCAAATGTATCTAACTGTGAAAATAATCATACTATTCACTCCAAATGAATTTTGTGTAGATAAGTATGCTGAAGTAACTAAACGTTAAACTTTGTTACTAATTTATGCACATAACTATCTTATAACAAGATTGTTTTTCTAAAATAAAATGGTTCATGAAACCTAAGTCTTTGACAAAACGAGAGGTATTTTTCAGAAAGACAATAAACTATGGGGTAAAAAATCTAAAATACAATAAAAGTTGCAAAACTACTTATTTTAATAATTGTACACCTTTTCATCTTAGTGGTTTACTTTACAAAACTTACATTTTCATTCTGGAGAAAATACTTCCCATTTACACTGTTTTACTCATATTATCAAGCGATAATAAAGATAATAACTTTGTTCATTGGTGTTCAGTTATATATTAACTGAAAATTTTCACTATAATTATTCTGAACAATAGTTATGATGTGTTGTTTTTTTCATATTTTAGAATATGGATTCGTTTTAAAGAGTTAAAAGATCAAAGATTAGATGAAGATGAATCTTTTCATGATTATAAACTAGTGGATAAATTAAATGAAAATCCAACAAATATATTGATTAATTATATACCAAAACGAAGAGTTTATTGGGATCATTTATTTCCATCTGGTTATATGCCATGTGGATGTTTATTACCTGAACCATTTAGTTTTAATAACATAAAACAATCTCATATATGTACATCACCAATTATTGACAGAAATCGTGACAGTAATAACAATAACAATAATAATAATAATAATAACAGTGGTAATCCTAACATATCAACAAACAGTTCAACAAAACATCAATTGAAAATCACTTCAAAATTTGAATTAGAAGAAGAAATTGGTAATTATATGAATTATTATCAAAAATGTGGATGTAGTCAAGAAGTATGGTTTGAATTAGCTTACGATATTATACGTCTACCAATAATGAATTGTTCAACAGGTTTACAATTAGCATTGACTAAAATTAATAATTATTTCATTACAATAATTGAAAATCAATTAATAGAATATTCGGAACAAATAAATATTAATAATAATAATAATAATAATTCAATTATTGGACAACATTTTACAATACACTTAGTGATATTATTCTTAAATTATCGAATACATGAAGAGATTAAAATAAAAACATTAAATAATGAATATAAAACTCAACAACAATCTGCAATTGAACAATTACAATATTCAATATTATTGGAATATTTGAAATCATTATTGAATGTAAATGACGAAAATGAAGGTTAGACAATGTTTTTAATTATGTAATTTATCAAAAGGTTAAAAATCATTCATTTATAATAATAATTATTGATGTAAAATAAATGTAAATAATAGAGCTTCTATTTGAAAGAAATTGACTATTAAATTTTGGAGAGTAATAGTATTTATATAATCATCTAATGGAAAATATGGTATTCTGTTTATTAGCACAGTTTATTAATTTTCAAATTTTAAACAGAATTTTTCAAGATAATAATTCTGATATATCGGCTTATTATCAGAAGAGGTTTTGTGGAGATTTTAGAAATTTCACTAGTTGAAATTATGAGTCAATTGAAGCTAGACCAACATGGAAAACCTGGAAGTACTGGACGGCGCAAGACTGATAGTGTGGTGTGAGCTACTTATATTGATATAAGTAGTATATAACGTGCGTCAAAAGAACGTAAGGTCTGGTAGCAGAAGATGGCGAAGATCAAGAAAGGTAGAGCGAGAACACAATGGAATTTGTAAGAAAACTTATGAACAATGGTATGGGAGACAATGGATTGGTGTTTGCAACAGAAACAGTCTGGTTTGATTTGATGCATGAATATTTTGCAAATTTACGATTTACTATATGGTATTCGGATTTTATTGAGATAGTCTGTAATTGTTGTGCTAAGTATGTCCGTTTGTCCCCACCTGTGTTCTTGTTCACTACGATAGGTTTTGGGTTCGAGTCTCGTGGGGGGCGGAATCGTGGGTGCTCACTACTGAAGAGTCGCATACTGGGACGAAACAGCCGTCCAGTGTTTCCAGGTTTTCCATCGTGGTCTAACTTCAATTAACTCATGATTTCAATTATTGAAATATCAGCTTATGTTAACTGTAACCGTGTTCAGAGATAATAGTTTCCGATGCAGGCTTTTTAACCCTCACTCGAAATAAATAAGAAGTTACTTATTCATAATTAACGTATATTTCTGATTCATAAAGTTGACTCCATTAATTAGTTTTATAATAAACTTTTTACAGTGAACCTTAGATATTATTGGTTAAAGCGTTACAATCTAATAACTGAAAATCAGCATTTTTCAGTCAATGTTAATCTTGAATATTTCCATTTGAATATGATTTTGAAGTTCATGTCAAATAAATTATGTGGGTTTGAATGGGGGGAATTCGAATTCAATGTAGATAATGAAGAGTAAACTATTGAATACGAACAAACTATCGATACTAGTAATTTAAATCAATATAACGAAATCAATGAACTTTAAGTAAGGAATTAAAAACTGTACATTCTTGATTGATCCGTAAGCGTATGAAGTGAATTATTAAACTACTTATTTTAATTTACCCACTAGTGTTGAAACTTGCTTTGTTTTTTTTGTATATAATTTGCAGAAATTTACGCCTGTAAAAAACGTGTGAGGTCATTTTTAACTGAAAGAAATAACGATGTGAAGTTAGTTTATTTTTACAACATGAATCTTTGTTGAGTTTTCCATATTATAATTCTAATTTTTGTTTAATATGACGATTTCTGGAGATCGAAATATTCTCACAGCTGGATTCACGATTCTATCTAAGCTAGATGACCATTGAAAACCTGGAAGTACTAGAAGACCATTTTGTCTTAGTATTGAACTTCTCAGCACTGCACATCCACGATTCCGCACACGGAACTGGAACTCAGGACCTTCGGTGTCACGTGAACGCTAGACCTCCAAACCAATGGGCCGGCATGTAGGACCATAGACACTCACTACTTCGGAGTCCCATAATAGGACGAAACAGGCGTACATTGCTTCCAGGCATTTAACGGTGGTCCAGGTCAGATCAATTTGTGAGTCCGATTGTTAAATTTTCTCAGTCGCATTCGTGTTCACGTATCCTATGTGGTCATATAATCCAATAGCTACAAATCCCAAATATGTCCCGGCTGAATAAATTAAATTGCAGCATGCCTCCTTCATTTCAGGCTTTGCACTGTGAAGAATTATATAATGTCATCGTTTAAAACCATCGATATAGCACTTGATGAATTGTTGACAGTCTTTTGCTTGATGATTGGGCTTCAAATAATTAAAACACAACTTAAACCTCTTCATTATATCTAGCCTTTCGTTCTGATCCAATGCTAGTAACTGTGAACAGATCAGGGCCTCGAAAGCATTAGAATAGATTAGAGAATACACTTTTTCGTTACTCGACAAGATGTGGACCTTAGTTCGAATTGAGATGAGTTGGCTATCTAATGATGTTGTCTGAGCTTTGTAGCAACTGATACTGTATTACAGTTGGCCTCGGCAAACGTGCTACGTCGTCCTGATGGAATGAATGGTCGTTCAATATATCTGTTAAGAATGCTTCAATGGCTTATGTAAAGTACTGATTACCTTAGTGCGGCATTCTCCTTCTGGCAATAAAACGCAATGTTCTGTAGCATCCTTCGCTATACCTTTACAATAGTGTAGCAAGTACATGAGTCGTTGGGTATCATCACTGACTCGGACGCGATACTTACTATAAATCCTTTCATAAACGTCCAAAACTTAAGGGGATTTCCATCGAATTTGAAGTAGGCCCACTGACATCAACAGTGACCTAATAGTATCTACGCCTGCCTTAAGTTCAACATCACTGCTCGTATCTGAGTTAGTATATCGGCCGAACAACTGCAACTTCGGGCTTTATGTCTCTGGGTCGAGATAAAGATATCTCCAATATTCGACCCTCATTTCCCACATTGTGAAAAGGTTTCTGTCTAATTCCCAGAAGTCGTTTACGAGGCTGCACAATCTCTAACTCAATCTTTTCTACTTCTGTATATTTTTGAACTGCTTCTTTGTCTTCTACTCTACATTTGGTATTCACAAAGGTGTCGACTAAGAGACAGCTATATTTGCGATGAAGGTTTACATTAATAAAAACGAGATTCAAAGAATTGGGTAAGCTCACCTTAGAAATTTAGGAAACGATATTTTCATTCGCTGGATCATCTGTCTCTTCTGAACCGTCTGCATTGTGCTTCATTTTTCTGGTCCTTGTCATTGTCATGCCACGATAACAAAAACCCAATTTTAGACAGGAATCGGGTACTGTAGATATTCAAATCAACTTGAACCAAAGTTGAGAACTGTTGGATCTATCAAAGCTTTCAATTACGCGATTGAGATACATTCGAAACCGAAGTCCATAAAACAGCGATTTGTCTAAAAGTGTCTCTTTATTTAGTAATATGCATGAATTAGTCAGAAACCTCAACTTGTGAGGTATCTGTAGCGCTTAGTGTGTCTGTAAGTCCGGACTTATAAGGGACCCCTGCAACAATAACATAAAGAATAATTGTGATATACAACAGTGCAAACGACAGCTGATAGCTATGTCTAATCTTGATAACAGTTTTCCAACAAGCAAAGACGAAACCAAGAGCAAACGAAAATAGTAACTATTGCGTCTAAATAAAGACTAAACGACCATACAAAACTGACAGTAGCTGCTACAGGGATTGAGAGAAAGCAATTAGAATGATAAATACAATAAATGTTACAAGTATATGTAAATATTTTAAAATATCACGATAAATCTGAGCTAAAACATACACATAGAAATTGCTAGGAATACAACTGTTTACTCAATAATGATAAGTAGTATAAAGCAATAAGGGAAAAGAGTTGACAAGAAGAGAGCAAGGACAGAGAACGTAAGCAAACCTAGCAGTTGATATAAAACTGTGAATGAAAGTTAACAGGATAATACCCATTTGAGTTCATACACTGAATCAACCAAAAGTATGCTGTGGAAAGTTAAACACGGAAAACCTTGAGTTCAAGTTTGATTTATAACTCTGTTATTATGTTCTTTGATGGAATATACACCATCGCTTCTGAATATCAAATTGTTCAAGCAATCTTTTCATTCTTCTATAAATAGCGAATGACTGGATTTAACAACCACTTAAAGACCCATTTCCAGCAGACTATTCATTGGTCCTTATATTTATAGTTCCGAATAGTATGAGATTACCCAACCTGATTTTATTGAACATATCTGTTAGATAAAATCAGACCTCTTGAGATATTAAATAATTGAAAGTTAACGGTAGAATACTCTGAATTTCTATTTTGTGCTAGCCGATGCTTGTCTGTTAGACGTACGTTCTATCTTGTTTTAACTGTTCCAAAGTATAATCACTCCGTGTTATACCCCGAAACTTTGCATTTGAGTTATTCTGTACGCAACTGACTTTCTGTAGGGTTTCCTGATAACTACGTCTAGCCACCTAATATCCCAACATAATATACCCGACATCGAGTCACTTTGAATGATGATTACATTACAACCTGATAGACATAATTTGTAGCAGCACTAAAAGACTGGACAAACAGGACGGTGATCACTTAGCATTGATTATTTAATTATAACCAAATTTCTACTAGAAAATGGTGAAAAGCATTCACCAGAAATATTAATAAAACCTAAATTTCCCAACATGAAATAACTTTGATGATCAGTGCTCGAATTAATCTAATGATCGTACGAAACAGCATGGAATATCGTTATTGTAGCCAAGATTTGAATCATTTTAATGTTATTTTAATTGTATGTCTAACAATATTATATATTTATTACTTCTTTTCTTCGCCTTATTTATAGTGATTCTGAATCATTTATCCCAGGAAATTCCAGTAGAATTTTTAAGAATATACAAAATCTACGATTTGTACAACATAAAGGTTAGCTAGTCATTTTTAACAACAACAAAAAATATCAGAAGGGGATTTTGTGGATATTATAGTCATTTCAATTGTTGAGATCATGAGTCAATTGAAGTTAGATCATCATGGAAAACCTGGAAGCACTGGACAGACATTTCGTCCTATTGTAGGACTCCTCAACAGTGCGCATCCACGGCCATCCAGTGCTTCCAGGTTTTCCATGATAACCTAGCTTCAATTGACTCATGATCTCAACTGTGAAAAAAATAGATCACGAAATTGTTATTTTCTTTTTCTAGCTCTATCAGACTTATTTTTCATGCATGAATTCTTACATGCAAATACTATATGGATTAATGAATTGATCCGTAATCAAAGACAATGTTATAAAACTCCAATGCATAATAAACCATATTTTCAATTAGACAAATTATTCATTCCTAATGTTGGCATCAAGTTAATTGATCCTATAGAGGTAAGTTAGTTTTTTTATTCATTATTATCATTAACAGTTGATACTGTTTTGTGACAAACTAATTTCAGAATAATGATATTGGTACATTTAACACTTCTATTATAACCATTTCAAATAGGCATTTAAAGCGGAAGTTATAACTTTCACAAAATATACTTCTATTCAATGAATGTTCATTATTTTTGTAAAGCTTGAATATACATGTACAATTTTCAGATATAATATAATTTTGTCGTCATAAAAGTGTATTTCAGTAGTTTAAGACCTTACATATTACATATGTTTAGTCACCATTTTCAATCCTACTCTACATTGTTAAGGTTGTACAATTAAACGTGACTGAATTCAATTCGTAAACTCATATATTGTATTTACTACTTTTTAACAGATTGGTTCCTTAATAAGGAAAAAAATCCATGGAATTGATGAAATTGATTTATAAGAGTGATGATATAAAAAAAGCATATTATGACCGATAATGAATAGTTAGACTGAGTTAACAAGAGTTTTTTTTTATGTATTAAGTTTAACATTTGCTGAATTTAACTGTGTAGTGTGTATGTGCGCTTGACTAAGTTTTTATCCCTCTGGTAGTTCAGATCTAATTCTATTTACATTATGATTATAATCATTAACATTGAGTTTTTCGTAGTGTATTCGACCCTCTACAGAAAAGAATTATGCTTACTAACTAGTCAATTATTGAACCAATGTTTTAATGATCAATCTCTATTGATATGAGTTATAAAGATCACTAAGCTCAACTTTTTAGTAACCGATCAATCCCTACAGATAACTTTGATGAACATACTTTCTACACAGATAATCAAAATGAGTTTCAACAAATTTGAAGTTATAACATAACAGTCAAACTGTCACATTTGTAATTGTCCTGAATAAGATTATATTAAACAACTAGAGTAATTTTAATATTTAAACAATTTTCAATTAAGCTTTTTGTAGGCAGTGAGCACTCAGTAGCTGAGTGGATAACGCGATGGCGTTTGAAGCGAACGGTACTGAGTTCAAGTCTCAGAGTGAACATCAACGCTGAGAGGCATGTACGTCCAGCTGACGTGTACCAAACAAAAAGAAACGCACGTCCTGGATTCCACTGCTCGCCACTATCCATCTTTGCTTATAAAAAGCTTGTGAATTAAGGCAATATCAAGGCATACGTACAGTATGCACATATGCTAATAACAGACTGATCAATTACAGTCTTAAGAAAACTCAATGGGAAGATACAAGCCAAATAATACCTAGTGAATTTAATTTTCAATTAATTTTCATTATTTATTATGTTTTAGGAAATAAACTGGGAAAAGATTCATTCTATTAATGTTGGTCTTCAAGAATTATAAATTAAAAAACCATTAAGAAACTTCACATATTGAAATGATATGTTAATCATTATAATCGAATTTATTTACTATTGTGAACTATGAATGATGAATACACAATAGAACATATTTATTAGTTGTCCAATAGTGAATAAACCAATGAAATGAACCATTTCAAAAATATATTTGAAATACATTTTTTTTCCAGAGCATAATATTTCTGTTATGAAAATATCTTACATTCAATTATTCGTAAAATATATACATTTATGAACATGAATTGATTGTATTCAATATTCATGGAAAATTTCCTTATATTAACAAACTATTTCAATAAAGAGAAAACTAGTTCAAGCGATTGGTTTTCTGTTGATGTTTTTTTGTATAAGTATTGATGAAGTTCTTAGTTTTCTATAAGTTTATCAAACTAAGCACTGTTATTGATTGAGATCATGAACCGATTGATGTTAGACCACCACCCCTGGAAACCTGGAAGCACTGGACAGCCGTTTCGTCCTATCATGGGACTTCCCAGCAGTGCGCACCCACGATAATATATAGTCACACTACTGACAAATAGTAAGTAGTGGGATTCTCTAACACAGTTTTATATTTACCTCAACTAACCACAATCATTGTGGCCTGGTTGGCGCTCATTATTTTTCGTAATAAGAAATAATAATGATGTGTCCCAAGTATAAAGCAATAAAGCAATTAAATTAGTTCTTGCGAATGACAGTGTAACAAAACTAGTTTTAAAAACAACAGATCAAATTACCAGTATAGGGTTAGGGGGATTGTTGAGTTTTTATTGAGAATATGAAACTGTCAATGCTTTCAGGTTTTCATTGATCAGTCGATGATCTCAATAAAAATTTAACAGACTAAACTATTTGTTAACAGTATTCTTATGAGTTCTACTTTCGAAATTGTCAAATGTAAAACTGTTTGAAAATATTATTAACATCTATATATTAGGCAGTTATCCCACTTTAATTTTAACAGTTTTCGAATTGCAAATTCATAACCAAAACGAAATGTCTCTGAACTAGTGACCACAATATCACAGTTTGTACTCGTTTAAACGGTGTGTGAATTACTCAACATTTTTACTGACTTACAACAACAACAGGATTGAGGGTTATGCAATCCGAAAAATTTTTCAACTATACTCTACCTATAAATAAAATAATTTAGCAATAAAACAAAATATATTTTATATTATTTGGCATTCACTTTGACCTACTATATAACTATTTAGAGGTCTTAAAAACAAACATGCTGCACTATAGTACAACGTCATGACAACGACCACAAATCACATACCGATCAACCGGGTCACTAAGATACTGGGCATGACAACAACTTTGCTTCTATTTTTTGCCATAGTAAATTCCTAAAAAAAACAACTGACTATGAGCAGTATATTCATTCATCAAGACGAAAACCTGGATCCAAACAATGAGGGAAACGACAACCTAGTATTCATATTATTCTAGTTCAATAATCAACGAACCTGAGTTGCATATAACTTTTTTTGTTTCCCATGACACTTGTATTGTGATCTTTGAATCCTGATTACATTAATAAATAGCATAGTAATTGAAGTAAAACATAAAAGCCATAGGTTCAATCCCATCTGTTAGGCTTTTGATCGAAACAGTCGAACAATCTCAAACCAACATAAATCAGATGTCCATGTTTTTCGGATTTTCAATAATTCTTCATCTGATTACAATTTTCCATCATAATCACAGTGATCACATTTTTACAAAACTATCTATTCAATAATCTCTGATGAATTATATAGTTGAATGGATGAAATAAATAGAAAAAAATTCTTGTTTCAATTATACAAACAATTTATTACTACTCCTTTCCCTTCATTCCTTACTCTTCTTCTCTTTCGATTACACTGTCTCACTAATTTGTTAATACACAAACAATTAAAAGAGTATTCTTTTATCATTATTCTCATAAAGAACATTCTTTATTTCTTCTTGAATTTATTAGTTTGTTAAATTGATTAGCTCAAAAGTACTCAAATGTAGTTAGTAAGTCTCTACCCTTGTGGTATTTCCTAATAAGTCACGTGTAACCCGTATATTTAATCAACATCTATTCTTGGTTTCATTATTATTATTTTCCCCATTTTTTTATGATTACATATTTGTATTTAATGTAGACAAATTTATTTCAATATTAAATAGGAGTTTGTTATAAAATAAGCCCAAAAGTATTTCTACCCTCTTTACTTTCAATTTTCAAATTATTAACAAACAAACAAAAATATCGATAATAATGTAAACGGAATTTTCTAGTAAACTATTTATTTATTCTTTATTATCCCTTCTCCCCCCCCCACAAGGAAACGGAATCCTTATTAAAACCAAATAATCAATAACAGATACTGTTATACGGGTTCTGGTAATAACAATTTACAGGATTATAAAAGAAAGGTATATTTTTTTATATGGGAAATTTTAGAAGAAAAATATTTTCTTAATGAAGAAATAATATATTTTATATGTGGGTAATTGATGGAATGTGGGTAAATTAACTTTCTAGAATAATAAGGGTGTTTAAATGGTTTTATTTAAGAATCATAAAGTGGTACCATCAGATAAACTTCTCTGAATGAAAACTATCGATAGAAAGATTAATTGGATTCAGTAAAGATATATCAGTAGCTTTACATAAATAAATGAGTGACTTTTTTCACTGATCATCATTGTTAGGTTACATTTGAGAAACACTAAATATCTGTTCTATTCATGTAAAAAACTTCTTAATAGGATGTACCCATGATTTAATTTCATCAGGGATCAAACTTAAATTTTTTAGGTCATGAGGTAGACTCATTAGCTTTGGACAACTGATTTAAAATTCAATAGTTTACATTTTCAAATTCAATGGATTAGTGATATAAAGGGACGATCATCCAGTGCATTGGGAATAAATATCTCATTTCCAGGTTAGCTGAACTCTAACGGTCACAATTCTCAAATGAAACATCAGCAGTCCATCACGAAATCAATGACGTAACCTATCTATAAATCAAATGAATCTCCACAAGGCTTTCAGAAGAACCTGATTAGAAAATCTATTTTATATTTCAAATATTTAGAATCAGTCAGTAAGAAATCACAGAGCTAAGTTTATTATCATTCAGACGGGTTATCAGGAATTTTGCTGTTAATTTATTCGATTTATTAATGCATCATCAAGAAATTGGAGTTTTAGAATAGTTAGTTATAAAGGAGTTTTACCATTTAATTTCAAATCGTCAGATCATAGAACATCTGTTCGATAATAATGTACTAGGGAAGATTTATTGTGAAAAAAAGGGGTTATAATTTATGGTCGGCTATTTTAATTAACGTGGAGTTTGAATGATGAAATATCATTCAGACAGGAAAGTTATAGATGTGAACTGTGCATTTTCGAACGACAAAAATGGATAACACCAAAGTGAACATAAATAGTCCAAATTGTTATCCCTTTTTTATCAGAGGCTTTATGTGGAAGGAAATAATCTTTAATACTTTCGTTGTCGTTGCTAAACCACTTACGGTATAAGATCTGTGACAATAATGTTGAATTTCACGCAGTATTTTTTTTAGCTCACCAGTGACTAGTTTCGTAAGGGAATTGTCGGGGTCCTAGTGAGAAGCTATAACCAGTGGAGCTAATTCGTGTCGGATAGAGTCAGGTATCTACCTCAGTACAATAAAAGATGATGGCACAATTTCATGGATTGGTTAAGATAAAACATTAACACCGTTGGCTACCGGCCGATTCATTGGCTTAGAGGTTAAGCGTTCGCGCGTGAATCCCGCGAGCGAGATCGTGGATACACGCTGCCGATGATTCCCACAATAGGACGAAACAACCGTCCACTGTTTCCAGGTTTTCAATGGTGGTCTAACATCAATCAGTTCATGATTTCAATGAGAGAGCTTTCACTTATTCAAAATGTGTTTAAAGTAACTTTTTATGATTGACTAATATAATCATTAAAATGCTAATGTTTAAAAGTATTTCCATTAAAAAATCCATTAGTCTATTTATTGATAGATCATATTTCATTCAGTCTTAAAGTGTCATTAAAACAAAAATATGATACCATTTAAACAATTTTCTAAAACAAAAACAAAAAGAAGTGAAATGTTGTCTACATTCATTGTTCAATTAGTCATTAACCGATTTAAATTAAGGCTAATTTTTTTATATTTAAAGTAGTCAATACGTTTTACTTTAATAAATATATAACTTGTCTAATTATTTATTCAATTAAATGATACTTATAATATTATCAATGAATGTTCAGTTTGGTATGGAAATGGTTTTAAGTTTACCATCAAAATTTAATTGAGAGTACTTTTTAGAGTGGAAAATAAGCATTAATTATATGACTGGTGGTGATATGAGATGTTATTTGTGAAAAAATTGTAAATTAGAATGGAATTTGTGGAAATTATCGTAATTTTAATAGTTGGATTCATGAGTTATTACAATCTTTTCAAACCCCATTCTGATCATAATTATCATGTGCCCATTAGTGACTGATTCTAAGTTGATTTTCTAGAGTTCTAGTGAGAAGCCGTGACCAGTGGAGTCCAATCCGTATTGGTTAGAGGTAGTTATTTACCTCAGACAATGGATGAAGGGTTGTGCAATATCATGGGTCGATTGAAGTTAGATATTAACACTGTTAGATGCTGACTCAGTAGTTTAGAGGTTAAGCATTCGCGTGTGAGATCGAAGGTCCTCGTTTTGAGTTCCACGTATGGGATCGTGAATGCTCACTGCCGAGGAGTCCCATAGTGAGACGAAAAGGACGTCCAGTGATTCCAGGTTTTCCATGGTGGTTTATGTTTAAATCGACTCATGATTTCAACTATTGAAATTGTAAATTGGACAACTTGATTTTGTTTTTACAGTTTAATAAATTTGGTCAACATGATTATTCTATGGTATTGTGTACATATTGTATTATTTTGCAATCGGAATCTTGAAGAACTTCATATCAGTTTCATCTTTTTTAAAGTTTATTAATAACTTGTTAACCCCAGTTTCATTTTCTGTTTAGTGCTGCTTAATAGAATTTGTTTAGATTTTTAAAAATGGAATTTAGATATGGGTGTTATTGAGAATATTGTTGACAATTTTCTGAAGTTAATGTGATTAGTTTATAAGCCGTTTAAAGCCTGATCAATAAGTCGAAATAAGTGTTTCGAGGTGATGGCAGCAATAGAATTATCACCACCCTGTCTGACCAAACATTTCTAAACTTATGTATTGTTAAAATGATCTCCCTCAGA